ACAGAGCAAACATTCACACACACTCACATATCAAAGCACAACAGACTTATCATAGGGTCACTACCCATCCCCACATATTTACAAGGATACTACCGCTCTGATACCACTATTGTAACAACCCTAAAAATCACTACTATAGTGATGTCTTCGCAAAATAGTAAACAAGTAAATAACGACATTTATCTTACATTATATTACTGTAATTGTAACATAAATTGAAATTCCAGTTTACTAACGGAACCTCAAAATATAATAACATAATTTATTTATATATTATACATGTTAAAGTAGCTCCCTCGAAGTTATCCCACTGAACTATCCCCGTTGTCCAGTAGTCACATCTCCATCTCTCAACTCTTGATCTGCTCCCACATAAAAGTGATCTCGCAGTCTCATCCACATGGAAAAATAGGGGTAAGTATTAAATCATTCGATATAATAAAATAGATATAGAAGTAATAATTATATATTATGATCAATTACGAAATCATCAACACACTAAAACACCTTCCGGAAGTATACCCTAACTATGCCCGAACTCAGAGGTTATCATCTGTGGGCACATTGTGATCGGCACCCGCAATACCATTTTGACCACCCTCCACACTGAGTAGGATTACTGGCGCCCTTCATCACTCATACTGGAGTACCCCTCCGAGGGCACCACCAGTCATCCCCCATCGACTTCTCACCACCTGATCTCGTAGTCTACATGACCCGACCAATCAGTGAAGTCTGAGACCTCATTCAGAATCTTCCGACATAGTTATTATACTAATGTACTTTGTACCACCTTGGGTACCATTCAAACACAACAAAAATCATTCACATTTGCCGGATTCTGGACCACCTGTCCTCACGGCTCATTCAAGTTAATAAATAATAGTACGTGACTGATTCTGGGCACCAACCCTCCGGCTCAGTCTAACTAATACATAACATCTCATGACTGATTATGGACATCGACCCTTAGACTTAGTCTGACCTACACACGTCACAACACACTATTGAATCTTTAAAACTACTACATTCATTCTATATTTTAAATATATATATATATATATATATATATGTATATATTCTTCTTCTTCTTTTCCGAAATCATTTTCGAAATCACTTCAGAAATCATTTCCAAAATATTTTTCGAAATCATTTCCGAAATCTTTTTCGAAATCATTAAATTACTATTTTACCTTTAATCTTTTCTAAAAATTTCATGTATGTCCCTAAATGACTATTTTACCCTTGAACATTTTCGAAAATTCCTTCCATGTCCCAAAAATGACTATTTTACCCTTAGACATTTTCAAAAATTCCATTTATCTCCCTAGGATGTAAAATGACTATTTTACCCTTGAACATTTTAAAAAATCCCATTTATGTCCCTAGGATGTAAAATGATTATTTTACCCTTGAACATTTTCAAAAATTCCTTCCATGTCCCTTTCTTCTTCCTCGCGCCAGTAACAATAACAAATTTTGCAGATTTTGGCAGATTTCAAATTACTCAGTTTTAGACAACCAAACTAGTCCCAAATTCAAATTAAACATGAATTATATCTAATTTAAGTTGAAAACAATAATTTTACCATATAATTCATCCTTAATTTTAAGAATTTCAAAAACTTTCAAACGGTGAACAGTTCATCAGAATTAGAAATTCTTCAAAATTAGACATTTAAATAATTCATATCTCTACTCTTATTCCTTATTCACAGAGTACCCAATAATTCAATTTCATATATTGAATGAATTAAACTTCTCCTTACCTTGTATGGTATTTCTACCGAAGTTTTCCCACTTAATTCAAACTCTCTCCTGTTTCACCAGATCCTGTAGGAGTAGAGTATCGTTGCTTGAAATTTAGACAAAAGAAGAAGAAGGATGAGAGGAAAATTTAGATTCTGCCTCCTCCCCCGTTTCTATATGCATATATAAGAAAAATTTTATTGTGCACGAGGAAAACTTCGTTACAAAGTTTTGTTGCACAATAATATTATTATAATATTAAAATAAAACATACGTCACATTAAACACTTATGGTTATTTGCTCAATAATTTGTTTTTTTGTCTATCAACTTTCCACTTTTTTTCACATTAATTTCTCCATGTTTTGTATATATAATTTTAAGTATTATTTTTTAATGATTTTTAGGTCTTGAATACGCTCTCATTATTATTTTCATTCCGGTCATTATTGGAAAGATATAAAAGAGTTTGACTCTGAATTAATATTTTACAAATATATAAAACCTAGCATTAAAGAAATACTCTAAGAATTTTACAACTCAACTCAGTGTAAAAAGTTGTTAAAGATTATGTATTAAGAGATAACTTGTTATTTTGGGGCTAAGCATCAAGGTTCTTCCTTATGTTTTTCTCTTATTCCCTTGTTTTATACATGGATAGTAAAAAACAGTGTTTTGCCAAATTTTAATATTTTTCATATGACATTATCTATAATTTGGTAAAGATACTAGAGACGTTGAATAAAATTCAATGTATTTCCTTAATTAACTTTCCCATTAAGGTAATGAAATTTTATTATTTTAATTTTAACTAGCGGATTATATCTGATTTTTAGGGTTTAGGTGTATGAGAGAATGTGTGTTTTATTTTGATTATATTTTTATTCATATACTAATATTAACTTTACATGATAAATATGAGAACACACTCTAAATCATCTCAAGTAATATAATTAATTATAATAAATGATAGACCATACAAAAATTTGAACAGTTATAAAACCAAATTAGATTCACATTATCAAGTAAATGTAGATAATATATAAATATACACTTTGTATTTTCTCTTAAAACATAATTGTTGTATTTAATAAATTTAAACCAAAGTGTCAAATATTATTTGTGGTTCATAATTAAGTTTGCATCTGTCATTGGTACAGATAATTGAACAAATAAAGTGAGAATATATATTTGTTAAAAGAACACGAGTGGATATATTTTTTTCTTTTTTGTGTTATAATTTATTATTAAAATTAAACATTATTTTAAATGATTAGATTAAAAAAATAATAAAGATGAAAAATAAATACGGAATGACCATTAGAAAGGAATTAAAGTGTAAATAAAAAAGTGTTCATTTAAAAATAATTAAATAAATTAAAATTAAATATTTGTGAAACTACAAATTTATCCATATAATTATTAATGATTTTTTTATCGATAATCTAACATTTTAAATTAAATCTTTTAAATTAATATTTTTTTTAAAATAATGTATACTTTATTGTATAATTATAAAATGATATTTTTAAATAATTTGAATTTAAATTAATAAAAAACATTATACACTTTGCTTACTTTACAAGTCCTTAACAATTTTTACAACTTGATTTCTTAAATTCCTTATTCTTCTCTATTCTATTTAACTTTATAGCAATTTATCTTTCTTTTTTTCTGAATAAAATGACTTTTTTTTTTTCTTTTGGACTTTTATAATGTCAATGACTTAGATTTGTTTTTGCGCTTTTACAGATTTAATACGCTAGATTAAAATTAATATTATTAACTTGTTTTCTATTTATAACTTCACGGTCATTTTACATTCTCAAAATAAACCCAATTATTAACCCTTCTTATGTAACGTGATACATTTTTTTTTCACCTAAGCTTATTTTAATTAAAAATAGGTATTTTTGAAATAGGTAATGTTAAAATAAGTACTTATTTTAAAACTTGAGATTTTACGTGAATTTATTTAAATTTAAAATAAATATTTTTGAAATATATAATTTTAAAATAATTAATTATTTATAAATTAATTTTTTGTTTTTTAAGATGGATTTAAATAAATTTGACTACCTATTTTCGTGGAATAGTAATGGGAGGTTAATTTTAATTCCAGCAGTTCATTATATTAAATAAAAAAAAAAACACAATACTTTATAAGATGAGTAGTTATTATGTATTTACTTAATACTTTTAATTCGATAATTTAATAGAGTAACGAAAAAAATCAAATTAATTTATTTTAAAAACAAAATATAATTAACAATAATAAAACCAAATTGCAAATCAAATAATAAAGTAATAATAAAATAATAAAACACCATTCGCGCGAACTAAGATAAGAAAAAAACAAAAAATATAATTTCAATAATAAAAAATACCTAAAAAAAAAAATACTCTTATAAGGTGACTTAAAGTAACTTAGTTTATATTATTAGTAAATTAATTAGTCTACCTGACAACTTTTTATGCATATATATTTCCTTATCTTTTTATCTTTTATATTATATAATTATTCTTTTAAAAATTTTACCTTAAACAATTTTTTAATGTTTTTTAAAATACAAGGGAATCAATTTATGTAACTGTATTTTGGTATACACATTTTTCTCTTTATTTTAATACTATATAACTTAAAATTAAATTATCTATAACTATTTTTTAACATCATTATATACTTTATATGTGTGAATACTTTAACGTTTACAATTTTAAAGTTACATTTTGAATATGAAAAATAAAAGCTATTAAAAGTATTTTTAACTTAACTACAAATACAGAAATCTAGAGTAAAAAAAATTTACCCGTTGGAGTTTCAAATTTGAATGTGCAGCTTAATGGCAAAACCGTTAATTCGGCCGAAAGAGTTGTGCATTTTGGTTGAAGCCGAGTCCAAAAAGAAACAAACGGACCCACTTTATGACTTCGCTTGACGAATGTACCGCCACTGTAACACTACGCTAGTCTAAGCAAGCTTTTCTGTCTTCAATAGTAACCACTTCGAACTTCCCACACAACATTCCTTTCTGTCATTGCTTTTCTTTGCAAACACTCACACTCTCGCTTCATCTCCCATTTCCATCTCTCCTAGGGTTCTTCTTCCATTCACCGCAAAACTCTTCCCTCCAGCTCTTATTTATTTACTCTCCCTTCCTCCATGCATTGATTAGCGTCAAAGGTTTTTCTTTGGCTGCTACGCACATTGCTGTTTTTAAGAAACGGAGAGGGAGTGAGATCCGTGGGAGGATGTCGTTGAGGGCGGGGCCGTCGTCGGAGCCGCAGGGACCGCCGCAGAGGAGGATCACGCGGACGCAAACCGCCGGGAACCTTGGCGAGGCGATATTTGACAGTGAGGTCGTGCCGTCGTCTCTTGTCGAAATTGCACCGATTCTTCGCGTTGCTAATGAGGTCGAGAAGACTCATCCTAGAGTTGCTTATCTCTGTAAGTTCTTTTCATCCTGCATTTCTTAACTCTTCGTTTTCCTTGTTGCCATGCTGAAACTTCCGTGTGTTCATGTACACCGAAATGCTTCCTGTGGAGTTGTGACATTTCAGTGTTGTTCTAGTTTGTTGCGTTGATTATAATTGGAAATGTATGTGAGCCACGATATCCTTAGTGTCCACGTGTGCTCATGCTTGGACGTAACTTTTTGCTTGCATAGTGTCGTATTGTACTTGTACATTACTGCGTTTCCTTCACAGGCATTTTTAGTGTTTGGATTGGCTTGTTTGAACTTATCAGGATAGCTTATAACTTCCATAAGCCCTTTTTACCTTATTTTTCGCTGTAGCTCATTAGGTCGATCTCTTTTTAGCTTGTTTCAACAAGTTCCATGGTCAAATTTGTTGCATAAGTCCAGGTGTAATAATGGATTAGATGCACAACTAAATTAACTTGTTTAACCTAAAACACCCTTTTTATGGCTAACCCGGGTCAGTTTTTGATGCTTGAATGTATTTTTGTGTGGGGCATACTTTTTTCTTGTAGGCCGATTTTATGCGTTTGAGAAAGCTCATAGGTTGGATCCTACTTCAAGTGGTCGTGGTGTAAGGCAATTCAAAACTGCCCTTCTTCAACGTTTGGAAAGAGTAAGCATTGACCATGTTTTGTTTTATTTATGCAAGATACAGTTATAATGTTTCTCTCAATAGTTACAAATTTGTCCTGTTTTCTATTTTCTAAAATTTGCACCGGAAATGGTAAGAAGTAAAATGAAGAAAATAGAAAATATTAAACATGAAATTGAGTGTCACTTTTGCAAATATTTATGAAGAGAAATTGGAGACAAAAAAATGAAAATTTATTCTAAACTAACCACCAGTATTGAACAAAAGAAGAAGTGAATCAGCTCTTTATATTATCTTAGTAGTTACTAAGAATAAACATGTTTACAACTATCCCAGAAAATTAACAATTGGTTCTCTGCTTAGAATGTGTAGTGTATTCTTACATATTTGGACTCCTAAGCTTTGAGCTCCATACATTGGAGGTCTGACACTTAATGCTTCTGTCACAGCTCATGGTTAGTTGTGGTATGAAATTGAATTGAGAATGCCAGACTCCTCCTGGACATCTTTTTTATGAACATTTTTCCTGTTTGCTTAGAATGAACGAAAAAGCCACTAACTAGATTTAAAGATGGTAATACCCTTATATAAAGTTAAAATAATATCTTGTAACACTTAGCTCCTATTTTAGGAAAATGATCCAACATTGAAAGGAAGGGTAAAGAAAAGCGATGCTCGAGAGATGCAGAGCTTTTATCAACATTACTACAAAAAATATATTCAAGCCTTACAAAATGCTGCTGATAAAGCTGATCGGTATGTTGTCTATGTAATGTGCAGCATGATATGTTCTGTGTCTATTGTGTGACGTACAGTGAGTGTGTCCTCTTACTTTCAGTGCACAGCTTACCAAGGCATATCAGACTGCTAATGTTCTTTTTGAGGTTTTGAAGGCTGTTAACATGACACAATCTATGGAAGTTGATCGAGAGGTTATTTTTTGTATCTCCTATGATGTTATTGATATTTAAATAAGATGATTATAATTGGAATTTCATTATAATTTTGATTTCACCTGTTTTTAACTTATGATTGATTTTCTTAACAGATTTTGGAGACTCAAGATAAAGTTGCTGAGAAAACAGAGATCTTAGTACCTTACAATATTCTTCCTCTTGATCCTGATAGTGCAAATCAAGCAATAATGAGATTTCCTGAGGTATGATCTCTACCCCTATATGTACTCTGCAATAGAATTTATGGCAACATCAAATTATGTGATTATAATTGTACTTGTTACTGTTATTGATTTAATTACAAAATCTATTGTAAATGTATAATGAAAATACTTGGTCATGCTCATAATTTGTACTTTTAGTTTCAATGAAAATACTTGTTGATTACTTTTCACAGATCCAAGCGGCTGTATATGCTCTACGTAACACAAGGGGTCTAGCCTGGCCTAAGGACTACAAGAAAAAAAAGGATGAAGACATTCTGGATTGGCTTGGGGTAATGTTTGGATTTCAGGTAAATTCTAGCGTAGGAACTGTTTATTTCTCTAGCATCTGAGTCTTGTATTAAATTTGAATTAGTTGAACAGAACATGATGTATTTGTTACTGATAAAAAACAATTCAATTTGTTTGCTACCCTTGTACAAATTACAGAAGCACAACGTAGCAAATCAGAGAGAGCATTTGATCTTATTGCTTGCTAATGTGCACATAAGACAATTTCCCAAGCCTGATCAACAGCCAAAGGTAGGGTTTACTTGGATATTTGATACAGCCCCCTGCCCCCATTTTAGTTTCCATATGGATCAATATGATAATTCTTTTTTACTTTCAATTTTTTAGTTGTCATATAGCTTCTGAAGCTTTTAATGTGTTTTAATTTAATAGTTTCATATTGAAGATGGGTTCACATTCGTGTGCTCAATTTAATTATAAAGTTGAATGCTACTTTAGATTTTCAATGTATGTAAACTTTCTTTTTTTTTTCCCCACCGGGAGGCTGGGAAGAAGTAATTTAACACTTGGTTTTTTCAATTTCTAGTGTTGAAATTGACTAAATGAAAATTAATTGGCAAGTTCAAGATGCTTAGCAGAGACCTTTTTTTTTCCTCTTGGTTCCTGTTGTGAACGGTTCTAATTTATATGTTCCAATATTTTTCTTTTCATAAAGATCACCCAGAGAAATATTCATACGTTGATTTGTATTAATATCTGCTTTTTGACTTCTATGAATTGTTATGTTTAGTTGGACGAGCGTGCACTGACAGAAGTGATGAAGAAACTTTTTAAAAATTACAAAAAGTGGTGCAAGTATTTGGGTCGGAAGAGTAGCCTTTGGTGAGAGCTTCTGTTCTCTTAATGTTGAAAGATATCGCGACTGCTTTTTTTGTTAACTTGGACCTCTTTGCTTACTTACAATTGGGACAAGAATGATTTTGAACTTGTTAACATTTATTTGTGACTTTCAATTTTGAATGTAGATTTGTGTTTTTGGCCTGTTTTAACTTTAACTCTTGTTTTTCGTTTCTCTTGTGGTACATTCTTATTTCAGTTTCTAATGTAACATATATCATGGAATATGGATGTATATTGCAGGTTGCCAACCATACAGCAAGAAGTGCAGCAGCGTAAGTTATTATATATGGGTCTGTATCTTCTAATATGGGGTGAAGCTGCCAACCTAAGATTCATGCCAGAATGCCTTTGCTATATCTATCACCACGTGAGCTTTGTAACTTCATCCAATCTATGTTGTTTATAAAGATGTTTAAGTTGGCAAGTGAAATTATTCAGAGTTATGGAACATAATTTCAAACTAACTTCTTTAACTTTTTCAGTCACTTGATCCCTGTCATCACCATTTCTACCTTTTTGCTTGAATCTTCCATCCTTTCATTCCAAATACTATAACAGGACTAATCCCAGGGGTTGGACTTGGCCCCTTATCAGTTTTACCTCTTATTGGGCAACTATCTTGTCAAATTTCCCCTCTTTATAGTTAGAACAGTTTGAATTGCAGATGTCTATATCTGTCATTTTATCCAAGCCTAAGCACTTCCACTTACAGTGTCCTCATTTTAAGCCAAAATATTTTTACACCCCTTGCCGAATTTCTTGTGAAAACTTTATTTCAAGATAAGCATTTGTAATGAGGTATTCGACTATTCTAGTGTTTGGTTCTGCGGTGCAGTGAAAGAGAAGCAGTTATTTTTTCATGTTGCTTTTAACTTAGAAATAAATAAAGTAGAAAAGAGCTTGTGCTTCTTGATGTTCTTAAACAGACTAGAACCAAATTGAAAATAAAATTTAAAAATAACCTCGTAGTCTTACAACAAATTTTGTTGTAGTTTTGTTGTCATTCTATTTCCTAGTGGCTTTATATTTCTAACATGCACCCTCATGTTACATGTTTATCTCTATGGTTTTGGCATTTGCTCACATTGTTGGTATTAAGTGAATTTTTTCGAAGGTTTTCTTGATATTGAAATGCTTTGGCATCATTTTATGGTGCTTCTTGTAGATGGCTTTTGAATTGTATGGTATGCTTGCTGGTAATGTTAGTCCAATGACTGGGGAGAATGTCAAGCCTGCCTATGGAGGTGAAGAAGAGGCTTTCTTAAGGAAAGTTGTAACTCCTATATATGATGTGATTGCAAAGGTGATTTCTTCCATGCATTATTTTCTTCTTTTCATTCTTTTATGCTGTCTCAATGATTAGCACACCCACTAGTTAATCATATTATTGAGTATGTCCCAAAAAAATTATTATTTCTATGCCCAATAGGAAGCTGAACGAAGCAAAAAGGGGAGGTCAAAGCATTCACAATGGAGGAACTATGATGATCTAAATGAATATTTCTGGTATAGTTAATTGATTCTTACTTTTTATTCATATTTGTCTTGGTATTAATTTTCAATGACAATTGTAGGTCAGTTGATTGTTTTCGGCTTGGTTGGCCAATGCGTGCTGATGCTGATTTTTTTTGCCTGCCTGCTGAGCAGCTAAATTTTGACAAATCTAATGTAAGCATTGAATATGTTCTCAATTGCTGACTATGTTTGCTGTTATAGAAATTTATTTTCTCTCAATATGGTTTAAGTTTTCAGGATAAAATGTTGTTTCAAAGTTGACAAGGGGTGTATAGATAATTGACAATTGATGTATGGCTGACATGCATTATATATTCGGTTGATTACTGGTTATGACATGTTTTTTCCTATAAAAAAGCATTATGATACGCAATAACTGCTTGGATTTTTTTTTTTATCTGAAAACGGGAAGAAAAATGCTCTCTATTTGATTATGATGCTGATTTTAAAATGTTAAATGGGTGCTTTTTAAATTATCATTGTTGTAAATAGAGTATATTTGAATAGCTGCTGCTCAAAGCCTAAAACTTGTACCTGCTACTGGATTTTAAGCTTGCTATCTACTTGAATCTACAGGATAACAAGCCAGTTAGCAGGGACAAATGGGTTGGAAAAGTCAACTTTGTTGAGATAAGGTCATTTTGGCATATTTTCAGAAGTTTTGATCGCATGTGGAGTTTTTTTATTCTGTGCTTACAGGTAATAATTTGTCTGTTGCCCTTCACTATCAATGTGAGTGGTTTTTGCCTTCTTGCAAAATAAAATTCATTTCTGAGAGAGCTAATTTTATCTTAGGCTATGATTATTGTTGCTTGGTATGGATCTGGGGATCCAAGTGCAATCTTTGATGGGAATGTTTTCAAGAAGGTGCTAAGTGTTTTTATAACAGCAGCTATATTGAAGCTTGGACAAGGTAGGTAATAGCAAATTTTACCAGCACATATATTGCTTGCAGATAGTTCTCAATAGCCAGATTTGTCTTTCTCTATTTAGTAGTTTGTGTTACTGTATAAAAGTGTAGCCTAAATTGTTACCCTGGCTTCTATTCTGGAGCACCATTTGTTCTTCTATTTTAATGCTTGTCTGTTTATCAAGTGACCATGCAACTGACAGACATCAGATGATGATTTATTTAGTGAAAAAGTTTTGGTTTTTCTCTTACTATTTGATGACAACTTAAAAAAGTTACTTGGTGGTACTCAGTAGACAAAGTGAGTAGAGGGCCCAAGAAAGCACCCATTCTTTTTTCTTGAAACAATCTTATGGTTATGGTTTTTACTTTATGTTTACATGGGCAGCTATTCTGGACGTGATCCTCAGTTGGAAAGCACAATGGAGCATGTCAATGCATGTTAAGTTGAGATACATTCTAAAAGTTGTTTCAGCTGCAGCATGGGTGATTGTTCTATCAATTAGTTATGCTTATACTTGGGAAAATCCTCCTGGGTTTGCTCAAACTATACAAAGTTGGTTTGGAAGCAATTCAAGTTCACCTTCATTCTTTATTATGGCTGTTGTTGTATACCTGTCACCAAACATGTTGGCTGCCATATTGTTTCTGTTCCCACTTGTTCGGCGTTTTCTTGAGAGGTCAAACTATAGGATTGTGATGCTAATGATGTGGTGGTCACAGGTAGGTGATATGGCACCCCTGTTTTCTATGTATATCTTTGGGTTGGTACCTAAAAACAATTGTTTTTTGCCTCTGCACCCAAGATATACTGAATTTAAATTGGTGGTTTTGATTCTTTGTGATTGGCAGCCTCGACTCTATGTTGGCAGGGGAATGCACGAGAGCACATTTGCCCTTTTCAAGTATGAATCTAGTTTTAGAAGTTCCTCTCAACTGTGAATAGTGTTATTTTCCTAGGAATCTAATCTTAAGGTATCATTGTTTATAATTTCAGGTACACAATGTTCTGGGTTCTCCTAATAATTACAAAGTTAGCTTTCAGTTACTATATAGAGGTGATTTCTTTTCATTCATGACTTTTGTTGGATAACTCTTATATTATCTTTCTTTTCTTAACTTCTCTTGATTGTGGAAATGAATGTGTGAAAATTACTTTTTTGGTCTTAATCATCAATATGTCTTGGTTCTTGTATTTCGTATAACCTACCCTTCTATAATACAGAAAGCATCTGTTTCTTTCAGAATCTATTAATTTTACTTTTTTTAACTATCTTTATATTTCATTCTTACTATAGATAAAACCTCTGGTGGAACCTACAAAAGCTATAATGAGTGTAAAAATCTCAAATTTTCAGTGGCATGAATTCTTTCCTCGTGGTAATAAGGTGGAACCTTTTGGTTTTTTTGCAATATTACATTTTTTTTTCAATATGAATTTATAAGTTTTGTGGTTTGTAGCTCGGAAAAATCTTGGTGTTGTAGTTGCACTTTGGTCTCCAATTATTCTGGTATGTGTTTACAAATACCTAATCTATTAATGTTTCAAATTTCAATATATGCCATGCAGTGATCCAACTTCTTTTTATCCTTCTCAGGTATACTTTATGGATACCCAGATTTGGTATGCCATATTCTCGACTTTATTTGGTGGTATTTATGGGGCATTTCGTCGCCTTGGAGAGGTCAGTAGATTGCCCACTTCTATATCCTTTTCTAAATGGGTTGTTTTGGATTGTGTTTATTTATTGCTTTGTTTTTTTACTCCTATACTCCAATGCCTTCTTTTCCCCAAATGTTGGGCAGTTCTTCAAGATTTTTTTTATGTGGCCATAAATGTCTGGCAATCATTGTTGTTTTGTTGGTGTGTGATCATTGAATATTGTCATTAACTGTTTAGTGTTAGTATACCATCTGAATTATTTTTCTTTCGAGTTACATCTGTAGCTGTACTGAAAGGTTTGTCAAAGCAGTTAAGTTTTTTTTTTACAAACATTTATTTTCAACATAATATAATTTTGCTTTATGATTCTGATTTGATATATTCTTCTAGCTTTTTTTGTTGCTATCAGATTGTGATATTTTCACGTATTCTTTGGGTATCAATTTTCTTGATCACAAAAATGATGCTTAGTTCAATTGTGTCATGCATGTCAATGTAATGCTTTCTTGTCATAATTTGCTTGTATTTATACCAATATTTTCCACCAGCTACAGACATTTACGCTGCACCATCATCTGCAGTGATTGTATGTTGTCTGCTTCTTTGTTTTGTTGGCCTCAATTTGATACAAGCAGATGATAATTGTCATTATTGTATTGCATTCAAGTTTATTGCATAATTAGAGTTTATTATTTTGGATTTATTGCTTATTTATTTACTGAGAATTTTTAGCTGTTCGAGTCTTGTGGTATTTTTTTCTTGTTGATTATTTTAGTTTTAGATTTGCTTCCACCTCAAGTTTGCTAGTTTGTTTGGCAGAACTGGTAAGCATGTTGCACAGCCTTTTATGTTTAGCTAAAATTAGGAAAGCAGTTTTTAAATAATATGTTTAAAATCAAAATGAGGAGATGCATAAATTGACTGGAAAGTTTTAAACTCTTTAGGAGAGTTGACAGAGAAAGGTGTCATTTTCTGAAGAAGATATAAGAAACAAAGCCTTTTTCAAGTAAAATTTTTAGGGATTTTAACTTTATGAATGAATTATTTATGTAAGAATTTGTATGCTCTGATTGTTCCTTAATTCATGCTAAGCTTACGTCTGGTTTTCTTACCTTGGAATTGTTTCATTGTTTACTGATGTTAGATAAGGACTCTTGGAATGCTTAGATCTCGTTTTGATACTCTGCCTGGTGCCTTCAATGCCTGTTTGATCCCAGAAGAAAAGAGTGAACCAAGGAAAAAAGGATTTAAAGCCACTTTATCTCGTAGATTTGATCAGGTTAAATATTTTCACTCTTTTGAGATGATTGAAGATTTGAACATCATTGCTTTAAATTTACTTTGGCTTATTTATACAGATCCCAAACAACAAAGGTAAAGAAGCTGCAAGATTTGCACAACTATGGAATCAAATAATCACTAGTTTTAGAGAGGAAGATCTTATCAGTAATAGGTAATTTGGAGGATACATTTGTATTTTTGGTTCTTAATCTTTTCTCTCTAGTAGAGTACTGTGCTTTTTAACAGTAGTCAAATGTGGTGGTTATACTTGTACGAGTCAGGGAAATGGATCTTTTGCTTGTGCCTTATTGGGCTGATCGTGAGTTGGACCTTATACAGTGGCCACCATTTCTACTTGCTAGCAAGGTTTATTTATTGACTTTTGAAACAAAAAATGTAAAACTCTGCTACCTTTTTTTTCATTTAACAATGCTTTACATGTTTTATAGATTCCAATTGCATTGGATATGGCTAAGGACAGCAATGGAAAGGATCGAGAGCTGAGAAAAAGAATTGACTCTGACCACTATATGTATTCTGCTATTAAGGAGTGCTATGCCTCATTTAAGAGCATTGTTAAGTACTTGGTTCAAGGGGACCGTGAAAAACAGTAAGTCTCTCAAAGAAGTATCATGCAGTTGCTTTTGTTCTGCGTGGTATTCCTGTAGAATTCTTATGTTGATCCATATAATAACATATCGTGGTTTCAATTAAAAGGCTTTTGGAAGTTACTAGCATGTAACTAACTTAAAAATGATTATTTGTTTATCTACTTATTTTCTATTTTGTTTAATCCTTTCATTTCAGGGTCATAGAGTACATCTTCTCTGAAGTAGACAAACATATTGAAGCTGATGACCTTTCGAGTGAATTCAGACTGAGTGCACTTCCTAGCCTCTATGAGAAATTTGTTGAGCTAATAAAACATTTGGTAATGTTGCACAACCCTGGCAATTTTGCATTTTAGTTTGCAATCTTTTGGTTGTTAAATCTTATCCAGCCTTTTATTGATCACAGTTAGATAATAAGCATGAAGACAGGGATCAAATTGTGATTCTATTCCAGGATATGCTGGAGGTAGTGACTAGAGATATAATGATGGAGGATCATATATTCAGGTAGTGATAATGGATTCCATTGTCTCAACATTTTTGAAGGGCATCTTCCTACTGTGAATATTATTGTATATTTTTTTTCTGAGTAGCTTGGTAGATTCAATCCATGGCGGATCTGGGCATGAGGGAATGCTTCTTCTTGAGCAACAATACCAACTATTTGCATCTGAAGGGGCTATCAGGTTTCCAATTGAACCAGTTACCGAAGCTTGGACTGAAAAGGTTTGCCGCTCAATAAAGTATCCTGCTGAGAATATTTTTTTATCAGTGAAGTACATCTGATGATCTGCTTACGTTTTTCTATATATGTAGATTAAGCGGCTTCACTTGCTGCTTACAACGAAAGAATCAGCAATGGATGTACCATCTAACTTAGAAGCCAAAAGGAGGATTTCGTTTTTCTCTAATTCACTGTATATGGATATGCCTACAGCACCCAAAGTTCGCAATATGCTTTCATTCTCGTAAGCTTTCTTTTACTTCTCTTCCAAATGTTATTTACATTAAAACTTTCTTTCAATGCAACATTTCAATTTTATTCACTGGATGAAGATTAAAAATATGTTGCTTGCTTTCTCAGTATGAGAGCTTAACTCATAAGTTTGTAAGTGAAGCTTTTGATAAATTTTAAATCTTTAAAGCGCCTACATGACAAGTTTTATGGAATATTATAATATATTGTGATAGGCAAGAAAAAACTGATTGTTTGGTTTATTTTGCTTGCCATGAGAGGCTTTCAGCAATAAATATTCTTGGACGATGGCAAAGGAAGAATCAAAGATTCTGCTACTATAAAAATATTATCTTGTTGAAAACTTTTGTAATTTGTTTCTCTTAGAGTCTCAGCTTGAAAATTTGGCTCATGAAATATAAATTTAATGGGTATGAATTGAGACTTTCATCCTGTTGAACTCTAGAATTTAACACAAATAACTCTTTTTAATATTCTGGTTGGTTTATAGACCAAATATAGAGAACAGCACATGAACTATAGAAGGTTTACACATTCAAAACACCAAAAAGAAATAACAAATTGACACCATAACTGCCTCATATTATGATTGCACAATTACGACGTGTGTTTGACACATTGATATGATTATTTTAAATGTATATGGGATACGAAATACATATCTAGATATGTAACCTACAGATCTCATTTTACTCCCCAATAATACAAGTTGAACTGCTTAATACAATATATTCATTTATTGGTCAATGAAATATAAATAAGATGGGTTTATTGAACATACAAAATTCATTCGATGCTTGCCTCCTAGGTAATTTAAAACATTTATTAGGGTGTATTTAGCAAAACCATTTTTACCTTTTGCATTATGGACTTTTGCAGGGTTTTAACACCATACTACAGCGAAGAGGTTCTCTTTTCCTTGAATGAGTTGGATTCACCCAATGAAGATGGTGTTTCTATACTCTTCTACTTACAGAAGATCTTTCCAGGTTCCACCCTTGCCCATAAATCATTATGTTGCTAAAATGTAAAAATTCAAGGGATGAATATGAATGCATTTCTTGGCACATTTTTTTGTTATCGATGCATAGATGAGTGGAACAACTTTCTTCAGCGAGTGAATTGTACCAGTGAAGATGAACTTAAAGGAAATGAATCTGATGAGCTAGAAGAAGAACTCCGTCGCTGGGCATCATACCGAGGCCAAACTTTGACCAGAACTGGTCCTCTCTTTATGTCTCTTACACATACACACATGAACACAAACATGCACACATACTGACACATTCCTGTACAACTATGTCCTTTCCTCAAACTGACAATAGCATATTATGTCTACTATCAGTGCATCTAATTTAAGCATTCTCTTTGATGCAGTTAGAGGTATGATGTACTACCGAAAAGCTTTGGAGCTCCAGTCTTTTCTTGATATGGCCAAAGATGAAGGTGAGGTTTCCTTCTTTGAGAATGATCAAATGATCTTTTATTTGTTGCTTATAATTTGGTTGTGAAATGATTGTTCATGATAATTGTTTCTTAAATACTATTTTTGTATTTTATTTGTTTGAATGAATGTTACAAACATGCAGATTTGATGGAAGGCTATAAGGCCATAGAAAATTCAGACGATAACTCAAAGGGGGAAAGGTCATTGTGGACACAATGTCAAGCTGTGGCTGATATGAAATTCTCATATGTGGTTTCATGTCAACAATATGGGATTGACAAGCGATCTGGTGCTGCTCGTGCACAAGACATATTGAGGCTGATGACACGGTAAATGTCCAAGGTTAATCATACTGGCGTTGATGTTTATTATACCTATCGATTGGTTCCTGTGTTTTTATTTGGCAGATACCCTTCACTTCGAGTTGCCTATATTGATGAGGTTGAGGAACCTAGCAAAGAGAGACCGAAAAAGATCAATAAGGTTTATTACTCTTGCTTGGTGAAGGCTATGCCAAAATCCAGTAGTCCTTCAGAGACTGAGCCTGTGCAATATTTAGACCAGGTATGCTGATCTTGATAAATGAAGGCTGTCAATAATTTTTTCATCATTTTTTGCTTTTAATTGTTTTTGATAGAAAATTAAGTTTTTCACACTTAAAAGAGGTCAATCAAATAAGACCATAGGAGGATGTTAAACAGTCAGGTTTGTATGCAACATGAAATTACAAAATCTAAAGATGCTACAGGCTCTCAATCTCTCTGCCTATATGCAATGGCAGCTCTCAGGAAGCATCGGAATGAAGAACATCCAAACAGCAAACTTGACTGTAACTGCATACTACTTTGTATAGATGTTTGTACTTTAGATGTTTACATAATGGAACGAACATAAGTTTGTTTCTTTTTAAGATAGTATATTTTAATTACTGTTCATATCCTAGTAGCTTGCCTCATCTAATGAAATATGGCTATTGGTGTCATTATTTGCTTGTATCTCCTTGATTCTTGTTTAGCTTTGATCTGTTGTAAGAGATTAAATGTGTGGACACCCACCATCTCTTTCTCCCCCTCCTTCCAAGCTAATGTAGAGCCTAGTTTTTGTCTAGCTGTTAATGCCAGTCCAACTTCTGACCATCTAACTCCCTTTTTGTTTAACATTTAGTTATGATTGTGAACAATATTTCGTGTGATTGTTTAACCACAGACATATACAAAAATGACTTAAATCCAATTTGTTCAAAGAAGCATTGGGTTTCACGTTATTTAATTTCAATCTAGTAAGTAAATAGTAATATAAATTCCATAGGGCCCAATGCAATTCATGACTTGAACTGTTACTGAGCCAACGTTTTCTTTCCCTCCATAATATTTCATTCATTATTCTTCTATTGCAGTCTTGGTTCTTATTCTCCATTTGATCGTCTTAATCAGGTCATATATAAAATAAAGCTTCCTGGACCAGCTATCTTAGGTGAGGGCAAACCTGAAAATCAGAATCATGCCATAATTTTCACACGTGGAGAAGGCTTGCAAACAATAGATATGAATCAGGTATGATACCTGTGTTAGAAGCTCAAAATTGTTATATCTGATATTATTCTATGTGATTAGATTGTCTCTTTTTTAATAGGATAACTACATGGAAGAAGCTTTAAAAATGAGAAATTTGTTGCAAGAATTCCTTAAGAAGCATGATGGGGTGAGATTCCCAAGTATTCTTGGTCTTAGGGAGCACATATTTACTGGAAGGTAAAAACCCTTTGTTCTAAAATTTAGCATTGTTCTTGTACTGCTAGGGAAAAAAATTGTACCTAAAGCTCGCAATGTGTCCCTGACTATTGTTTTGCTCTGAGGTTTCAGTGTTTCTTCTCTTGCATGGTTCATGTCAAATCAGGAGACCAGTTTTGTGACAATTGGTCAGAGATTGTTGGCTAATCCACTGAAGTGAGTTTCATTCTTTCTTTTATTGTGTGTGTGTGTTGGTTTTAAAAAGAGTTCTGTGATTTGGAGAGAGTAGTAAGGAAAAAGGGGGTCTGTGTGAGGGAAAGAGAAAAAAGTACATGGCTGGTCCTAGTGTAATTTGAGTGTGTGGGAAATCAAATAGTATTTTAGGAAAGAATAAATCAGGAAATTTGTATATTTCCTTGTAATCTGTATAGATTTGAATAATTAGGAACAATCTCATAAATCAAGGGATCCTAGCATAAAATAGAGTTATTATATTTCCTAAAATAGTTTAGGTCTCTTGTATATATCTTATATCATCTCTTTGTATTGATATAATAAAAAATCATATTTCAGTTAATCTATTTTTCAAGATGGTATCAGAGCTTCCGATCTAGGAAGCTCGTCTGCGTGCAATAAACCCTAAGACGGCAGCCTGCATTGCCGTCGCATTTTTCTTAACCCTAAGACGACGACTCGCATTGCCGTTGCATTTTTCTTAACCCTAAGACTGAGCACTGCATTGCCGCCGCATTTTTCTTAATCCTAAGACGACAGACTGTATTGTTGTTGCATCACACCTCCTTGCTATGATGTCAAGGGAAGAGGAAGTTGTGAATCCAAACCCGTAAACAGGGAATACCCAATCCCAACAACCTGGAGAACTGCGGAATATTCATTCTGCATATAGACTAAATGGAAGAAATTATTTGAAGTGGGCCCAACTTGTTCGTACGAGTGTTGAAGGGAAAGGGGAAGTTGAGTCACTTGATGGAGTCTCGGACCTAAACAAGAGGATCCCAAGTTTACTACATGGGATGAAGAAGATTCAATGATCATGGCGTGGTCGTGGAATTCAATGATTCCGAAATCGGTGACACCCGCATGTTCCTTAATTCGGCAAAAGATATTTGGGATGCTCGTAGAGCAAACCTACTCTAAAGCCAAAGATGTCGCTCAAGTATATGAAGTAAAGGTGAAAACTTTGGCAAAGAAACAAGGGAACAAGACTGTTACGTGAATATGCCAATCAGCTGAAATCATTGTGGATGGAGTTAGACCATTATAGAGTCATAAAAGCCAAATGTACTCGAAGATTCAACACTTCTCAAGGAGTATATCGAACAAGACAGAGTTTATGATTTCCTTGTTGGTTTGAATCCTGAATTTGATCAAGTTAGGATTCAAATATTGGGGAAGCAAAAGGTACCATGCCTCAATGAAGTGGTGGCTATTGTGAGAAGTGAAGAAAGTAAAAGGGGTCTCATGTTAGAGAGTCCCGCAAGAGAGACTTCAGCAAGTGGACCATAAAGGAGATCAGACTTTGGCCATGGTAACCGAACGGAAGAAAGGAGGATCAAGAAATGTGGAGAAGAAAGGTGATGGTCTCCGGTGTACCTATCGCAATAAACCTCGTCATACCCGAGAGAAGTGTTGGAAGTTACATGGGAAGCCTTTAAATCGAGATCGAGAAGGAGGACACAAAGGAGGCTCCTCAAGGAAAGGAGGACAAGTTTATGTTGCTGCTGAAACAAATGAAGGAAATAATCCAGAAGTTGCTGTCCATCTTAATCAAGAGGAGATAGAAAGGGTGAGAACCTTTCTTAGTAAGCTGGAAAGACCCACAGGTGTGTGTTCTTTGGCATACCCAGGTAAGTTTCGACTCCACAAAAGGAGGTAACAATTTTTTCTCCAGCTGTACAGATTGAAATTGAAACCCAAAATGATCCTGACCTCCCAATTGCCATTAGAAAAGGAACAAGAAAATGCACCAAACAGCCACTCTACCCTCTCTCAAACTACCTATCCTTTAAAAATTTCTCTCCTACCCATAAAACCTTCCTAGTAAACCTAAACACTACACTTCTACCTAATACCCTATCTGAGGCATTGTCTGACAGAAAATGGAGGCAAGCCATGTATGTAGAGATGGAGGCATTGGAGAAGAACAACACCTGGGAGTTAGTCACCTTACCAATAGGAAAGAGGCCAATTGGATGTAAATGGGTCTATACAGTGAAATACAAGGTTGATGGATCAATTGAGAGATATAAGGCAAGACTAGTTGCCAAAGGGTTCACCCAAACCTATGGAGTTGATTATTTGGAGACCTTTGCTCCGGTTGCCAAAATGAACACAGTTAGGGTGATATTGTCCCTGGCGGCCAATTATGGTTGGAACTTGGAACAATTTGATGTTAAGAATGCTTTCCTACATGGAGACCTTGAAGAAGAAATTTATATGGAGATACCTCCGGGATATGATAAAGATGTTGCTGCCAACACTGTTTGCAAGTTGAAAAAGACATTATATGGGTTAAAACAGTCCCCCCGTGCATGGTTTGGCAGGTTTACTGAAGTTATGACAGGTCTGGGTTACAAACAAAGCCAAGGTGACCATACTTTGTTTTTTAAACATTCCAAGTCAGGGGGAGTAACAATATTATTGGTGTATGTGGATGACATAATATTAACTGGAGATAATAAAGAAGAGCAGCAATTATTGAGCCAATGCTTAGGCAAGGAATTTGAGATCAAGACCTTGGGAAAACTAAAATATTTTTTGGGAATTGAAGTTGCCCACTCCGAGAAAGGGATATTTATATCTCAGCAGAAATACATCACTGATTTGCTCAAGGAAACTGGCAAGGCAGCTTGCAAACCCGCTAGTACCCCATTAGAACCAAACCTAAAGCTTGGAAATGCGGAAGATGTTGTCGTTGAAAAAGATATGTACCAAAGATTAGTGGGCAGACTTATATATTTGTCGCATACCAGGCCGGATATTGCCTATGCAATGAGTTTAATTAGCCAATTTATGCATAGCCCAAAGGAGACCCATTTACAAGCTGCCCACGTAATTTTACAGTACCTTAAAGGAACTCCAGGAAGAGGGATTCTATTCAAAAGGAATGGTAATGTAAAGCTTGAAGCCTATACCGATGCCGATTATGCAGGGTCAATTGTGGATAGGAGGTCAACTACGGGATATTGCACCTTTCTTGGAGGAAATCTTGTGACTTGGAGAAGCAAAAGCAGGGTGTAAGTGGCTCGGTCCAAGGCTCGAGCGGAATTCCGAGCCATGGCACAAGGTATATGTGAGTTACTATGGCTTAAAATCATCTTAGAAGACTTGAGGATAAAGTGGGAAGAACCTATGAAGCTCTATTGTGATAATAAGTCAGCAATCAAGTATAGCCCACAACCCAAGTGCAAGCATGATAGAACAAAGCATATTGAAGTAGACAGACACTTCATCAAAGAAAAGCTTGATAAGTGGCTTGATATGCACTCCATATGTGTCCTCTCAAGACCAAATTGCGGATATTCTTACCAAGGGACTGGGCTGCCATAATTTTGAGAAGATTGTATCCAAGCTGGGAATGGAAAACATCTATTCACCAGCTTGAGGGGAAGTGTGGGAAATCAAATAGTATTTTAGGAAAGAATAAATCAGGAAATTTGTATATTTCCTTGTAATCTGTACAGATTTGAATAATTAGGAACAATCCCATAAATCAAGGGATCCTAGCATAAAATAGAGTTATTATATTTCCTAAAATAGTTTAGGTCTCTTGTATATATCTTATATCATCTCTTTGTATTGATATAATAAAAAATCATATTTCAGTTAATCTATTTTTCAAGAGAGTGCAAGACCTTTTTAAACCTCATCTCTAATGACATGGGTCATCACTGAAACACAAAGGCCTTGATCAATAGCCCTTGTCTCATTGGACAACTTTAGTAAGTTTTGCAACAAGTACACAAAGTATTTATCTTCAACACTTCCCAACAAATTGGACTATAGATGTTAATCTTGGCCAGCTTTTTTCAAGTATTGGGAAAAACCTAGTTCTACATTAACCGGAGATTCTATCAAAATAAAGTATATAAATAGTGGTTCATCACCTTATAAGCCAGTTTTGTATTATTGAGTTAGACCTAAACTACTTTGTAAGATGGTGTCGGAACCTATCCTAGATCCATTAAAAGGGTCACTCACTATGTTATACATGTTCCAAGTCCAATAGTGTTGGATGTGAGAGGGTATAGTGGGAAAAAGCTGAGTTCTACGTCAACTAGAGATATTGCCAAAATAGAATATATGATTGAAAACAATCCTCTCCTTACATCACTTTGTAAGGTCAAGTATGCTATACTCTTTTGACAATGACTGTTGTAAAGAGGTTTGCTTGCTTCTATTCCCCAATTTTTGGTATACAATAATTCCATCCTGAAGCTATGGGCTGACAGAGCAGCAATTAAGGACATAAAATGAAGATTGATGTCTCACTAACTGATCAATTCCTTCTCTGATAATAAACTTGACTTGTAAATGTTAGGAAGTTGATATATTTATCATGTTTGTTTTTATTTAAATTGTAGGGTTTAAGATATGTCCAGAGAGGAAAATAATAGAATATAGATTTGAAAATAGTTTGATAAAATGCGATGTACTACAATATGATCATATAATTTTTATACTAATATTATTATATCACAATAAAAGGGATAAAATTTTAATAAATATATACACAACTAATTTATACCTTTGATTTATTGTCGTTGGTTAACCCTCCTGACATAGGAAAGTTCATTGATGATGCTTGAGTTTGAGTTTTTATAGTTAAATGCTATTCAAGTTTTTAGCTGACCAATAGGAGACAAATAAAATACGGAAACTAATACAAAGAGATAACACTCTTAAGATATAATCAAAATATTATTAGATGAATACTTTTCATATACATATATACATTCATCTCTCTCTCTCTCTCTCTCTCTCTATATATATATATATATATATATATATATATATATATATAGGAGACAAATGAAATAGGGAAACTAATACAAAGAGATAACACTCTTAAGATATAATCAAAGTATTATTAGATGAATACTTTTCATATACATATATACATTCATCTCTCTCTCTCTCTCTCTCTCTCTCTCTCTCTATATATATATATATATATATATATATATATATATATATATATATATATATTAGATCTCTACTTCTTGGCCTTCCTCAAAGTCTTTTCCCTATTTACACTGTTTTTGTTTTAAATATATATATGCTTGTGCAGGGTTCGCTTCCACTATGGTCATCCCGATGTCTTTGATAGGCTTTTTCACCTCACAAGAGGCGGTGTTAGTAAAGCCTCCAAGGTTATCAATTTGAGTGAAGACATTTTTGCTGGTGAAGCGACTTCCAATTCTCCCCTTTTTTTGCAGTATGCTTGATTCACATTTTCATTTGATTTTACTATGTTATTTTCAGGCTTCAACTCTACACTCCGTGAAGGAAATGTTACTCATCATGAATACATACAAGTTGGGAAAGGAAGAGATGTGGGTCTAAACCAGATTTCTATGTTTGAAGCAAAGATAGCTAATGGAAATGGAGAGCAAACATTGAGTCGAGATGTATACCGGCTTGGCCACCGCTTTGACTTCTTCAGAATGTTGTCCTGTTATTTCACCACAATTGGATTTTACATCAGCACTCTTGTATGTTACCACCTGAATTAACTTATTTTGTTGTTATTTCACAAGCTTCTTAACCTTTTATTTTTCCTCTTTAAACTTTGGGCAGATAACTGTTCTCACCGTATATGTATTCCTCTATGGACGCCTTTATCTTGTTCTAAGTGGGCTTGAAGAAGGTTTGAGTACACAAAAAGCCATTCGAGACAATAAGCCTCTTCAAGTGGCTCTTGCCTCTCAGTCTTTTGTTCAAATTGGATTTTTGATGGCCTTGCCCATGTTGATGGAAATTGGCTTAGAAAGGGGCTTCCGAACTGCACTTAGTGAGTTCATATTAATGCAGTTGCAGCTAGCTCCAGTTTTCTTCACATTTTCGCTTGGGACAAAGACTCACTATTACGGAAGGACATTGCTTCATGGTGGTGCAAAATATAGACCTACTGGACGAGGGTTTGTGGTTTTCCATGCTAAATTTGCTGACAACTATAGACTTTACTCCCGTAGCCACTTTGTCAAGGGTATTGAGCTAATGATTTTGCTTATTGTATACCAAATTTTTGGTCATACTTATAGAAGTGGGATTGCATATCTCATGATTACAGTACCAATGTGGTTTATGGTTGGCACCTGGCTTTATGCACCCTTCTTGTTCAATCCTTCTGGGTTTGAGTGGCAAAAGATTGTTGATGATTGGACTGATTGGAATAAATGGATTAGCATCCAAGGCGGAATAGGTGTACCACCTAAAAAAAGTTGGGAATCCTGGTGGGAGGAGGAACAAGAGCATCTCCAATATTCAGGAATACGTGGAATCATTGCAGAGATATTGTTGTCTTTACGTTTTTTTATCTATCAGTATGGTCTTGTTTATCACTTGACCTTTACGAGAACTACGAAAAATTTTCTGGCAAGTCTTTTATGTGCTCCCTTTTTTCCAACTATTTATGTCGCTTTCAAAGTTTGGCACATTGAATGGGATATCCTTTTCTTTGCTACAGGTCTATGGCATATCGTGGCTTGTGATCTTTCTAATATTATTTGTGATGAAGGTTAGTAGCAATCTACTTTGTATCTTGTTGGGCGGGTTAAAATTGTTCATATGATGTATGACTTCCAAATATCAATATTATGACCTATTATTATTAGTCTTTGCTTGGTAGACAGTGTGGTTGGGTTGGGTTATCTAAATTAGTAGAATGATCAATGAACCAGAAGGCTTGTTCACTTTCTTGCCCAAATATTTAAACCAAGCTAAAATCTTATATATGTCAAAAGGTTCGTTCTTGGATTAAATTTTTGTTTTCTTTCTGAATTTCTTTTTTTATTTTGTCTCAGACTGTGTCTGTTGGGAGACGGAAATTCAGTGCAGATTTTCAACTTGTCTTCCGGCTAATCAAGGGGTTGATATTCTTAACTTTTGTCTCAATTCTAGTCACCCTGATTGCCCTTCCTCACATGACAATCCAGGACATTGTTGTTTGCATTCTTGCCTTCATGCCAACTGGTTGGGGAATGCTACAGGTGAATGCCCTCTATTTTCTTCTCCATACTCAATACATTTTTGTTTTGAACTGATTTATGCAAGCCTCGTCCATGAAACTATGTCTGAATACATTTATTTTCTTCTCCATACTAAATACACGTTTCTTATGAAGCCCCAGAAAGTCTAAGCTCATTAACCTCTGAAAAAATGTAAAGATTGGACTTAACTCATTGACTTCAAAATGATTCCTAGTATGGTATTGAATTCCCATTTTTATTTTCTTGCAGATTGCACAAGCATTAAAGCCTCTAGTTCAACGAGCTGGATTCTGGGAATCTGTAAAAACTCTAGCTCGTGGTTATGAGATTGTCATGGGTTTGCTTTTGTTCACTCCCGTTGCCTTCCTGGCTTGGTTTCCTTTTGTTTCAGAATTTCAGACCCGAATGTTGTTCAACCAAGCATTCAGTCGAGGATTGCAAATTTCACGTATTCTTGGAGGTCAAAGGAAGGGACGGTCTTCTCGCAACAAGGAATAATTTATCTACACAAAAGCTCCATTATCTCCACATTTCCTTTATTGCAGTAACAGCTTGAGCAACGATTTTGGTAACTAATGTAAGTAGTGTATATTGTTAGTACGAACGAGGTACATCCTAGGCTTCTTTGTTTATTCGGAACATCAATGAACATTATTCCAATTTCAGAGACTGCACCAGGGGATGCAAAATTCAGAGCCCAATTTTGTAAAACTAGTTTTCGATATTTAGTCTGCTATGGTCTTATTGAAGAAGGCTCTTGTTTCCTGTACTCAGTAATTTTTCTGAGCACCTCCATACTCTAATTTAAATATTTAAAATATTTTCCCATAATTTTGTTTTTTATACTATTTTTTTTTAATCTGTGTACAACTTCTAAATTTTCATCCATCGTGATATTTGATTTTTTTTGGTATTGAAAGTCTTTTTTATATTGTATCTGTGTACAAAAAACACTATTTTTTGTATTATACTAATTTTTTTAATCTGTGTACAACTTCTAAATATGAGTAATCATTAATATTATGAATAAATTTTATATTTTTGTATTTAAATTGTATAAATAAATTTAAATTATTCAATTTAAAATAGTGTTGCTAAAATTATATTAATCCGAAATGTAATTAAATCTATGACGGAATAAATAATTCATTAAGCAATTAAATAGAATATTGAGTGGTGGAATCACATACAATACAGATATGCACTTGTTGTCTCTGAGACAAAAAGCTCCAAATATATAAATATGTCGACCTATTTATTATTTGTAATTGTTATCATGCAGGTTGGATAGAAAACTGCTTTCCAATCAATTTGCTATACTCCTAGAATGGGATATGGACTCAAAATATTAAGATTTTGGTTAATATGGACTTGCATTTTGTAAAGTGCATTCCAAAATAATTTTTGGAATTGAATTTTTAAAAATATATTGATGAATTCAAAATACATTTTTAAAAAATTAATTTTGAAAATGTACTATAAAATGAATTTTTCATAATATATTTCTAGAAAATTAATTTTAAAAATATAGTATGAAAAATACATTATAAAATATATTTTTGAAATTAATTTTTTAAAAATATAATATAAATTAGTGAATTTGTAATACATTTTTGAAATAAACAATTCGAAAGTATATTACATATCTATTAATCTGAAATATATTTTTAGAAAACCAATTTTAGAAATAATTTTTCAGAATATGTTTTAATAAGCATTGATAAATGAAGATAAATGTAAGAGTAAAGTGAATTTTAATTTAATTATGGTTGTACAGGAAGAAATTATGAGGTTTAAGTGGAGAAATTATGTGGTGCAAAAAGTTATTAATGGGACTACAAAAAGTTATTAATGAGACTGCATGCCTAATAATAATAATTAAAATATTTATATTATTAATATAATAATAATAATTATTATTATTATTATATTATTTTTATTATTATTTTAACATTAATAATAATAAAATAATATAATAATTATAAATAATAATAATAAATATTATTATTATTTATTTTATTAATGATATCAATATATTATTATTAATTATAATAATATAATAACAATTATTATAATATAATAATAAAAATTATATACATAAAATTTTATATAAAAATCGTATTTTATATAGATAATATTATCTAGCGACTTTTTCTTAAATATATGAAGCACTAATTTTTCATATTAAAGTTGTCCTTCAATTTATCCAATTTTAAAGTTAACCAATTTCAATAAATAAATAAAAAATTAGGCCATTTCCATGCAAAATCGTCCAAATCTTCAGCCTTACAATTACACGCACAAGCACATATCAATCAATTGGGCGCAAAATTTGAGAATGGGAACAAGTTGGAAACCAAAGAATAATCAAGTATAAATGTTATAAATTAAAGTTGAGTATTGGAGGGTTGGGAGGGAAATAGGGGTAATTTGAAATAATTCATGTTGATGAAATTAATTATATTTATATTTCAAAATATTTAATTATAAGAACAATGATGGAAAAATAATTTTTGGTTATTCCTTATGAACAAAACAAAGGAAACAATAAATGAAAAAAAATATAGATAAACAAAAACAATCCATTATAATCCCATCTCTCGTTCTTTCTTTTACTTCCTCCCATTTTTTAACTTTAAATTGTTTTAAAAACTATTAGGTATCAGAAGGGAAAATAACACTTGCACACAAAATTCAACTAGCGAAAGCCTATATTCACAACAAAAAATTAAAAGTACACTCCCACAACAAACAATTAAAAACATACAAAATATTTTAGCGTGGTTTAATAACACGTCAAGGCCTACATCCACAAACACCTCAAGGCCTACATCCACAAACACACTCAACAATATGTTATTACTCAACATGCAATTTTTAGGATCGGAAAATTACAAATTCTCACGTACAATTTTTGTCCTGTAAACCCTCTCTAACTCACAACTCACTCTAGCTCCTTATACATAAAGGAAACTTTTAAATTGGGGTGTCTAATACTCACCTCAATCCCTTATTTTTATAGTGGTTTCCTTCCGCTCCCTTCTTCAAACTACCCAATGTGGGACTTTGGAGGATACCCACACACTAACACAATATATCCTCCCTTCATCCAAAGTCTCACACTAATCCATCATCATGACTGGTCATATTTAAAGAAGGAATACTCTTCTTTTCCTTCTTGTATTTCAAATCTTCCTTGAATTCTAGACATTTGACTTGAATGTGACCAAACTCTTCACAGTAATGACACTTAATAATACTCATATCTCTCGGCTGGAATCATCTACCATGTTGATCACCATACTTCTTCTTTTCTCCCTCGCTTTTAGCTAGTAGTATCTGACTGTCTTCAGAGGATTTATTATCACCCATCATTTGTTGACTCTCCTTCAACGATCTTATCACCTCATCTAGTAGCAATATATTCTTCCCAGTTAGCAATAATTGCACTAGTATTTTATAAGATTTGGGTAAAGAAGCCAACAACAACAATGTCTGCTCTTCATCTTTGGTAGTCTCCCCTGCATTCATTAGTCTGAATATCAGTTCATTAAACTTATTAATATGATCAAACACATTACCTTCATCTTCCATCTTGAGTGAGTACAGATCCATTTTCATCATCAATCGATTGATCAACGTCGTTGATGCAAACTTGCTTTCCAACAAATCTCATCACTTCCTTGGAGAGTTTTCTTTCAACATAGTCACTTTGATTTGTGGAGTTAGTACCAATCAAATTGTGCTCACTGCCTTTTTCTGGATTGTACTTCATTCTAAATCTTTCATCTCAATTGGTTTTTCTTCTTCTAAGGCACAATCGAGACCCTGCTGAACTAAATAGTCTTGGATTGTGCATTGTCATAAGGAGAAGTCTATCCTCCCATCAAACAAAGGAACATCTAACTTCATCATAGTCATAGCACCGCACTGCTCTAGCCCACGTATTGCTTCTCTTTCTTCCTAAGACAGAATCTCAATTTTTTTCTGATATGAAAGATTAAATAATACTGCAACCACAAAGTATACGAAGAATTAAGAATCCCACAAAGCCCACCACACCAATTCTTTTCTGATGTGAAAGATCAGATAATAATGCAACCACAAAGCATACTAAGAATTAAGAATATCATAAAGTCCACCATACCAATAGCTCTTAATAATATTTTATTACTCAACGTGCAATTTTTAGGACCAGAAAATTGCGAACCCTCAAATATAATTTTTACCCAGAAAAACTGTAAATTACTCACAACTCACTCTAGTCCCTTATACATAAAGAAAATTCTTTTTAATTATGGTGTCTAATACTCACCTCAATCTCTTATTTTTATAGTTTTTTTTTTCATTTCCTTTTTCAAACTACTCAATATAAAACTTTGGACTGACACAACGTATCATAAATTTCTTTACATATTAGAACAAACTTGAATATATATTTAGTTTACGCAACTTGTAATGCATGTTTTGGAGTTCTGTGTTTTGATATTGTTGATGGTGTTAGATTTTGATTAAAAGATGTATCTATTTATGCATAATTTAAAAGTCTGGGCAAAAAAATTATTATAGTGCTAAAACAATACTTACTCTCTTGTGCTCCATTACAGTCTTCCTTGAGATAATTATAGATAGGTAATTATTCTTAAGATAAATTATTAGTAAGGTTTTCTTAGCTCTTAAATGATACACACATCATTATTAGTTTTTTAAATATTTTCTTAAAGTCTTCTTAAATGACATTTACAATTTATTAGATATTCAACTCCTTGTATTTTGAATAAACTAATAATTTAATATTTTTTTAATTATAGTAAGTTAAACTATTTAGTTATAATAAAGCAACACTAATTATTGTAAATAATATAAATTGTTAATTATGAATTATCTTAATTTAAATTTTAATATCTTGTTATTCAAAATACATATCAATTTATTTGTAATCACCAATTGAGATATAGTTTTTAAATAATTATTACAAATTTTACGACTAATGATTACATGATAATTTATAATAATTAAATATCTATTTTTAATTTTTAATAAATCTACTTTTTAGTCTACATAAAATTATTTTGTTTGAGTTTTCAAAACATGATGCTTATTGTTAAATAAAATAAAGAAAATAAGTATCATTTGATTAAAAATATAAAAAAAGAATACTATTTATTTAGATGTGCATTTAAAAGAAAATTTTACCAGAAAAGAGTGGTCTAATAATAAAATATATAATGTTTTTTTTTCGTTCATGGGTGATTTAGTATTGAGTATAATACATTAAAATAGTTATAACAAATAAATTAACATTTTTACTATTGTCTGCTATACTACTTTGGCTATACATAATAAGATACATCTTTGTTATTATCTCAATTTAAATTTATATTGTCTTGATAAATAAAATATCTAATATATATATATATATATATATATATATATATATATATATATAAGATATTCAATATTAAATCTTAATCATAAATAGTAAATATAACATTTATTATTTTAAAAAATAAAAATCTCTACCATAGGGATTGGTTCTCTCGATATTTACAAAATGATAAAAATAATATATTTTTCCAACGAACGCCTAAAATAAGAGCTATTATTAAAGCAAGAATTCAACAAAATATTGTATTTTCTATGTAGGAACCTGTAAAATAGTAATATCATATCTTGGAAAAAAATCTTACACGAAAATTATAAAATAAATAAATTGTAATTTTTATAATTATTATCGTAAATTTTCAATAATATATTTTGTTAACTATAAGATAATTATTAACATATAATAAACTTATTACATATAATAATTTATGACCGAGGGTCAGTTATATTATTAGCGATTGAATTATTCAAATAATATATAATGACTTAGTTGTATACTTTATCTTAAAAGTTGTCCTTATTGTGTGGTCTTCATCTTTTTTTCAAAGCTTTTATTCTCAGCTTTAAAATATAATGAATTTGTCCATTTTCATAAGTTTTTTTTTATAGTTTTGTTACTTTTTAGCTTCATACTTGATATTAATATGACAATACATATAATGTTGTTTTGAGGGACACATTGTAAACATATAAAGATAAATGCAAGACAAATAGTGATAAAAAAATTAACTTAAGTATTTTTTTTCTGATTATAAATGAAAATTTTCTATTAAATCCTCATCTCAACTTTAATAGGAATATAAATACAATAAGTTTTCAAATAAGTTAAGATATATTTTGATTTAATTATCGTAATATTGTGATGATGCCTTACAAAATAATAATGCATGTACATGACCGAAAATAAGTACAGTATTCATGCCTACTCCACCATAATTTTTAGTTACAATTGATTTTAAATTAAATTTTGAAAAATAAAGAAATTTTTTATCATTAATAATAATCTAAAATTAATAAACAATAATGTACAAAATGAACCTAAACATTGAAAATAAATAAAATTTGGACAAAAAATTTCATATAAGCTATTAATTTAAATGTTTTAAAAATTATAATTTATGCTGGGCAACCCTTAGACTCTTATTTGGATCACATGATCGGTGAATTATATGAGACAAACCTTCAATTGGAGCAACTCACACAAGTTATTTTTTATAAAAATATAAGTTAAACTTTTTAAATTTGGTCTGTTAATAACTTCAATATGAATACATTATATCTTAGAAAAATGTAAATACAAATATTTATTTATGATGTTACATTATTTTTAAGTCATTTATTATTAATTTTATTTTTAAAGTTTTTTTATTCTTTTTCGCATTCTCTCGTTTTTTATTTTGATTTGTTTATTTGTGTAAGTTATTTAGAGCATTTTTAATAGAAATTATTTAGAAATAAAAATAAATATTTTATTATGGATTATAATATGAGTTATTTAAAATTAAAGAAAGTTGTTTAAAATTTGAAGAAAGTTGTTTAAAGTTTAAAGAAAGTTGTTTATATAAACAACTCTGACTAAGTTTTAAGCAACTAATAAAAGTTACTTGAAAATAAAAAAATTATTTTATTATGTTTCCGTATCTAAATTGCTTGAAATTGAAGAAAGTTACTTAAAATTTGAAGAAAAAGGCTTATAACATCTCTAATGGGAGTTGTTTAAATAAAGCATTAGTTGCTTAAAATATTTTTTCATTATAAGAATCCTATGTGGCATGATAAATGTTTAAATTTGTTGATAATTGCTTCATCAAGCAACTTATAAAAATAAGTAAATCAAAGTAAATGAGGAGAGAGAATAGAAGAGATAATGATTTTTTTTTAATTTATTAAGAAAACTTCTAATTAAGTAAAATCAATAGTAAATTATTAAAAATTGATGTGACATCATAAATCCTTATTTTACATTTTTCAAGTTAAGAAGTAACTCACATGAGTTGCTCTCACTAGAGATGTCTTATATAAATAATTCTCGCTAAGTTTTAAGCAACTTATATGTGAGACCCATAATAAAATATTTATATTTATTCTTAAGCAATTTTACTAAAAACTTTCTCTGCATATTTTAGTTCCTAAGCCACTTTTTATCATCTTCAAAAGGAGTTTTTAACAAGAATTACTTAAAAATAAACATTAAATTTTATTATGGGTCCCACGTATAAGTTGTTTAAAACCTAGTTAGAATTACTTATATAAACAACTTTCTTCGAATTTTAAACAACTTTATCTCCTTTTAAGTAATTCAGATTATGAGACCCATAATAAAATATATTTTTTTATTCTTAAGCAACTATTGTTAGTAACTCCCATTAGATATCCTCTTAGAGCATATCCAATAGGAGTTGCTTATTAAGATGCTTAAATAAAGTATCAGAATATTTTCAAAGAATTTTTTTAATACGAGTTACTTAAGAATAAATTGATTTATTATGGGTTCCACAAGTAAGTTGTTTTAAACTTAGTCATAATTGTTTATATATTTTTAAGTAATTTAGATGAAGATTTATAATAAAATATTTATTTTTATTCTTAAATGTTTAACAAATCCTTTTAAGATATATTTTAAACAAAAGAATTTAAGTGTTAAATTTTTTTTATACTTACTTCTTTAAATAACTTAAAAAAAAACAAATAAAAAATAAAAAAAATGTTTTTTTTTATTTATTAAATTTTTTTATAATAAAATAAAATTAATAATAAACTGTTTAAAAATAATGTAACATTATAAATGTTTATTTTATATTTTTAAAAATAAAAAATAAACTCATATGAATTTCTCGTATTAAAAATACTTTTTATGAAATTGATTGAAAGAACTAATATTTTATATATTTGAATGAATAAGTAATTCTTTCAGCGATACTATAAGTAACTATTATTTAGTGTCTCCAGCACAAAAAAACTATAAACAACTTTGAAGATCTTGCGTTAAAGATGCCATAAGTGGATTGCGGTTAAAAATGTCTAACTCACTTAAATTTGTTGGCACAGGTTTGTAAATCGATTCGTCCCAAAGTTTAAATATTTGTATACTATATTATTAATTAATATTTGATTATATGTAAATATTCTATCTACTACATCAATATTTAAAATATTTTTTTAATATTTACGCCGTACTGCATTTTTATTATTTGGTGCTTCGCATCAATATTTACATTGAAGTTCAATTTTAAAAGTACATATGATTTTTCTTTTTTTCAAGATACAGATTACAACAAATTCTTTTGATACATATTAAATCCAGCTAAAAGAATTAAATTGAAAATTCTCAAATTGTGATTTTGATAAAAACTAAAGCAAATATTAAATGATAATTTAATAAATATTAACAGTTTTTATGCATAGTAAATATAAAAAAAAAAGATATAACGCGTCTACTTAGCTGTTAAGTTTATCCATCACTTTGAGACGCGGATTTTGTTTTCTTGGTCCATTTCACACTGTTACGCGTCTGGGTTTGATTTGAACACCCTAACCCAAACGCTATTGCGTTGCGACCCGGTGTAACCGGTAGATCCGGTTGCCTACTACTTTTCCTTTTCTTTCACTTTTCTTAATCTTCTTCTCCTTTTCTGCCTCTCTTCTCCTTTTTCAAAACAACGAACACAAAGACCGGTTTTCACTAATTAGAGTGCGATTCAGCTCCTTTTCAACTCTGAACCCTACACCTAGGGTTTTTCAGGTCTCCATTTCCGTTTCCTTCGCTTGTTCTTGCTATTCCCTTCGTTTTTGTTTTTCAGAGAAAAAGTTATTACGGAAATGGATGCTCTTCGATCTCGTGTCTCTCTTTTTGTTTCTATTAAATTCAAGTGTATGAAGCTTCTACTTGTTTGAATCATGTGATCTTTTACTTGTTTGCGGAATGGCGGTTCTCGTCTTATTTTGCTATGCTTCTAGTTTGTTGTATTATAGCATTTCATATGCTTTACTGGTCATGGAAGAAAATTTGTCTTGTTGTGGATTGTTCACTGGTGCTACTGATTTGATTGTATAGGTTGATGTTGAACCGGATCCACTCGTTTCAATAATTCTTCTCATCATCTTTTCTTCTTTTGTTGCTGTTCTGAATAGTTAAGTTCAAAAGGTATTCAGTACTGTGAAGCTTTTGTGACTCTCTAGCGTCACGTTTATTCGTGTTAGCTCCTCTGTAGTCTGTATTGCTCTTTAAACATCACTCGAGTTCTTAATTTTCAAGATTCCTTTGTGGCATGTATTACGTAATCGATTTTTGCATCCACATCTTTGAATTATACAAGTGAAATTTTGAAATTTAACCAGGAGACAATATTGTTGAACTTTTGACTCGTTTAGTTTGTTTATCTGTTGGATCTAGTGAACTGTCTTCTCTTTTGCTCTTTTCTTAACAAGGGATGATTTGGCTAGATGTCTTACCCTTTACTAGTAAGGCACCTCATGAAAAGTTAATTTCCTATGGGATATGAGGAATTCAATACCCATTACTTATAGCAAATATATCCCTTGTTTAAATTGTGGGTAGTTTTGATCTGCGCTCATGTTTTTCCTGCCAGAATGGTTTATGGTTTTTACAATTGTTTTGTAAATTGTTAATGTTAACCTGTATGTTTTTCACTTCATATTAATAGAAATGTCTCGAGCTGAGGAACTTTGGGAACGGTTAGTCCGAGCTGCATTGAGGAGGGAAAGGACTGGTGATGATGCATATGGGCGACCTGTTGGTGGCATTGCTGGAAATGTACCATCTGCCCTAGCTAAAAACAGGGATATTGATGAAATTTTGAGAGTTGCTGATGAAATTCAAGATGATGATCCCAGTGTATCAAGAATATGTATGTTAGTTTCATCTTGCTTTGCTTTTCTTATGCATTTTTATTAATTTAGTAGTTTCCATTCAAACATTTTTGTGATGCATAAGATGGGTTCTTTGGCATTGAAAGGTATTGTCCGCCACTCCGCATACTAAATTTTCATATCAACAGAACAAGAAAAAGAGAATGATAAATAAGAAAATTACATTATTTCTTAATTACTAACTATGGTAAAATTGTAATTGAAATTAGTTTATAAGATACATTTTGTTTTTGGGTAAAGCAAAGGCTTTCATCAACATCATGTTTGGATGTAAAAAGTAGTAGAGAAGAGAAAACCAGTAGATTTGAAAGTTGTTTGGATTGCAAGTAAAAGAAAACATGTAGAAAAGAAATAAATGTTGAACCCACATGTTTGGTTTAATATAATTATTTTCTTTAATAACATGAGTAGAATCAAGGGGGAGCCACACCAGAGGAGAGAAATGACTGGATGGGTATATTTGGAATGAGTGAATTATTTCCTAAAAAAATTTGTTTTCTATCCACTTGAGTTTAGTATAGAGAGTTTTTTCACCGGCCTCAGTTTTGTCCTTATTTGCTCTCATCCAACTTCCTTCAATTTTCTTTTGAAACAGAGTGTGACTATAAGGAATTGGTTTTGTTTGTGTTTAGGGGCACCCTTAAAGATGCAACTATTCCATTCCAATGTAAATAACAAGAACTGCATTTAATTGTACTGTGCCCCAATATTTATCTTGATAAACCATTAGATAATGCTGCAAAGTATGTGGAACCTTCTGCTACTGCTAGAAATTACCATAAAAATTGTTCCCAATGAAAAAAACTACTTTTCAATTTAAAATAGAAGTGTTTACCAGTTTTGAACTAGATCTATTCATAATACATATGTTGGATAAAGGTCAGTGAAGACTTGTCTTGAACATGTCATTTGCATTAATGTTGTCAAGCCCAACCGTGTCAAACAGAAGGCTTCCCCTTAGATATGGAAATGTGAGGTTTTGGGAGGGACAAAACTTCAACAGATTCCTTTCTGCTAAAATTTAATTCTGCATAGACAGATTACTCATCAGTTGGTCAGGCTTGGATACCTTGTAAAATTTCAAGATTAATTATATATCTTCGACAATTACTATTAGGTGAATTATACTTTTTCATACAAGGTAATCAAACTCAAGAGTCTACATAGACTCGTGAGATTTTATTAAAATTGACTCTTAAACTCGGAAGAGTCTAGATCATGATATCAATTCAACACTTAAGTATGATAATTAAACAAAATAATAAATAGTAATTCTATTCTACTAAATTATTAGAAGTCTCACATCGCTTGTCTCATGTCATTTGATATGGTTTAAATACATGTTAGGCTATTTCACATATTGCCAATTGGTTTTATGTTGGAACCTTAACATGGTATCAGAGCCAAAAGCCTAACATTTTTTCGGTTATTGTCTTGGGTCAAGAGTTGCCCTTTCATTGTGGGTCAAAAGTACACTTTACCTGATCCGGCAAGCTTCGTTGGAGGGGGTATGTTGGAAGTCCCACATCGCTTGTCTCATGTCATTTGGTATGGTTTAAATACATGTTAGACTGCTCCACATATTGTCAATTGGTTTTATGGTGGAACCTTAACATAAATTAATTAAGTTTAATAGAAACAAAATAATAAATTATAATTCTACTACACTAAAATAATTAAATTTAATAGCGCTTGATACTAATTGTATGAATTAAAGTTACATCAAAATAAATTGGTTTATATAATACATCATCAAAATATAGTTTTAAAGACATACAAATTAAATTAGAAAAGTAAATTTTATATTTATCCATCTTAACCCGGGGCATGGAACATATAATAGAAAAAAAATCATTAAAATTAAAAAAACATAAAAAAGAAGCCAACAACAAAATGTGAGAATGAAATAAAGCACCAAAAAGAAAAAGCACCGAAACGAGAATAGAGAAAAATGAATCAGAACCTTGATATGGAAAATACAACATGAAACACACAGGAGAATGGAGTAGAATAGCTTGCGTGTCATGTGAAGGAGAACAAAGTAGAACATTTTGCATAGAACATAACAAAGCGGACCACGACACCCAAAGGAGAACATAGAAGAACGCATCACATGAAGTAGACAACTATGGCGATATGCATGCAAGCTCACACAACAACAGAATCAAATAAGAGAGGTGTGTTAATATTGACGATGGCAAAATGAAATGGGGGAAGAAGAAATTGTATTGGCATGCCACATGCGCTTAACGAGATGCGTGAAACCATGTCCAAATTTGTTGTTTTTCACATAGTGTATCTAGCTTACATACACTTGCTGAATCACTCTAAATTTGCAAGTCGACTCGAGTTTGGCTAAGTCTATACCAAATTAGCACGAGTCTACTAAAGAAAGGGTTTACATGTGAGTTAACTCGTGGTTACTCACTTGATTTGCAAACTCGTTTGAGTTAATGAATCAACCAACAAGTTTGATAAACATGATTTCATATAATGTGTTCTATTTGTGCCCATTCTTTATGAAAAGGCATCTATTATATGTTCTCTAGCCCATTGGAAGTGTTACAGTTTCATGTTATTTCTCTGCTTTCATCTTTGGTAGATAATAGGAAATTGTTTAACTTGAAAACATTTGTTATTGAAAATTCAAACACATCCTCTGTGCAACAAACTTACCAATCCTTTTTGTTTGCAGTATGTGAGCATGCATATTCTTTATCTCAAAATTTGGACCCTAACAGTGAAGGTCGAGGTGTTTTACAATTCAAGACTGGTTTGATGTCTGTCATCAAGGTATGGATTTTAGTCTAGTTTTATGTAAATAAAAAAAAAAAAGTTGTGCTTGGGATACTTGACTTGTGGATATTGGTATGTTTAATTTTGTCTGAGATTCTGTGGTACTTGATTGGTATGCTAGAATTTTGTTGCATGGCCTCTCAATGCCAGCTCTTTTGGGTAGTTCATATCATTTGGATTGTTTTATTTATTGCATGATTGTTTTATTTATTGCTTGATTGGTCTTTGATACCACTTGTTAGAACTTACGCGCAGCGGAATGGTTGAGGTTGCAGACAAAACCAAGAGGGAGGGTGAATTGATTTCTTATAAAAATTAGGCTTTTGAAATTTTCTCCAAATTTCAACTATTAAAATACTTGTAAAGTAAAGAGAGGAAGATAAGAAGATTACATAAGTGTTTTATACTGGTTCGGATCAAAAGACTCTACATCCAGTTGCTAATCACTCTAAAAGAGGATTAACGTTGTCATTATAATCACAGTTCAAACAGATTACAAATACAAAGATAAAGATTAGAAAACATCTCTCTTGAGTCACACAAGAGATGAGCACCTACTTTGAATCCACAAAGGATGAACAACAGTTTTTCCTAGAGACGACACAACACAATCCACCAAGAGTCTCACTCAGTGATTCTTATCGCTTCTAGCCCACACTAGGTTTCAAAAGCCTTTTTTTCTTCCCTACACAAAGTTCTCTAGCAATCACAACTCTTAACTTTTGTATGAAAAATGTTTGTTATTTTGTAGAGAGCTTTAGAGAACCTTAAGTAGAGAGATTAGGGTTTGGGGAAAGAAGATTTCGAAAATAGAAGTATTTGAAATAGGTGTTTCGAAAATTGGTCCAAATTCGAAATTCAAAACTCATAACAAACGTAGATAATCGATTATCTTAAGTGATAATCGATTATCACATAATCATTTTCGCAGAGGAGTAAACTGAATCAGGATAATCGATTATCTGGGTAGATAATCGATTATCAACCCAGATAATCGATTATTCCATTAAGGTTTTTAGAAAACAGATTTCAATGCAGGATAATCGATTATCTTGAGTGGTTTTGATAAAAATGAACTTTTAGAAGATGAATTATGTGCTGGCTATCTTGGACTCTAATTTTACAGACTCAAAAAGACAAAATATAGTTATTACAAGTAAATATAGATGATTATAAGTCTTTTAGTCCTTTGTTCTTGAATCATCATCAAAATCTTCAAGCATCATATTCTTGTATAGTCAACAATTTCCCCTTTTGATGATGATTAAAATCTATCTTAAAGCCCTTTGCAATAACGTGTATTTAGTGTCATATTTAACATAAAATATTAATCATACCAGGCAACATAAAAATTTTAAACATATCAGGCAACATAAAAGTTTTAAACATATCAGACTTTAAATATTTTCTTCCCCTATTTTATCATAATAATAAAAAAAAAGCTCTCCCTCAACATATGCACAAAAATAATCAACTTCTCCTCAATATATGCAAAAACATAGATATTTATTAAAGTTGAGCAAAACAATACAAAATATAGAAAAGAGAAAATGCTAAGCCCAGAAATATGCATGGATAATCGATTATCAGTTGAGATAATCGATTATCCCAGAGAAAATTTACTGATTTGACACATTAAATTATAGATAATCGATTATTACCCTAAATAATCAATTATTACAGAAATATTTTTCATGGATTACACATTGCAGCTTTAATAATCGATTATTACACAAGATAATCGATTACTCCAGAGAGTTTGACAAACTTGACATGAATTAGACACAAGATAATCAATTATTACACAAAATAATCGATTATTTCAGGACAAAATGCAAAGATTTTACAGTTAAGCAGAGTTTAGACTATTTCTAATATTCCTAAGTCTCTCCTAAGTTCATAGAATCTATCCTTGGGAAGAGGTTTGATAAATATGTCTGCTAACTGATGCTTTGTGTCTATATATTCAATTTTACTATTTCTTTAGAAATGTGATCTCTTAAAAAGTGATGCCTAATCTCAATGTATTTGGTTCTAGAATGCATAACAAGATTCTTTGTGAGATTAATTGCACTTGTATTATCACACATTAAAGGAATGTCATTTAGAAAAATATTATAATCTTCTAGTTGTTGTTTCATCCATAGAATTTGAGCACAACAATTTCTAGCTGCAATATATTCAGCTTCAGTTGTGGATAAAACAACACAGGCTTGTTTCTTAGAATGCCATGAAACTAAGGATGATCCTAATAAATGACAAATACCACTAGTGCTTTTTCTATCTACTTTACAACCTTCATAATCAGCATCAGAATAACCTAATAGGCTAGGAGAAGCTTTAGATGAATACCATAAACCAAAACCTGTAGTCCCTTTTAAATATTTTAATTCTCCTATCATTGATATTTCAAATTCACCTTGCATTATCTTAGCAAATCCTAGCAACAGGAACATATGTTTCATCATAATCAATACCTTCCTCTTGACAGTATCCTTTGGCAACAAGTATGGCTTTGTTCTTTGTTATATTTCCATCTTCATCAAGTTTGTTTCTAAATACCAATTTCGTTCCAATTACTTGATGTGATTCTTTTCTTGGAATTAACTCCCAGATTTGATTTTTTTCAAATTGATTGAGTTATTCTTGCATAACAATGCACCATTGGTCATCTTTGAGTGCTTCCTCAACACTTTTGGGTTCAATTTGTGAAACAAAAGCTACAGACATACATAAATTATTCATATTTCTAGTGCATAACCCTTTTGAAATATCACCAATTATATTGTCCATTGAAAGTCCTTTTGGTGGTTGCCACTCTTTTAACGTCTTTGATGGTTGTAATGATTCATTTTCATTTAGGTACATTTCATCTAGTGCTTCTCTTATGTATTCATCATCACTTGCAAATTCTTTATTTGACTCAAAAGGATTTCCCTCAAGGTCTACAATTTCATCAAAAGTAATATGTACATATTCTTCAATATTCAAGGTTCTTCTATTGAATATTCTATATGCTTTGCTAGAAAGTGAATAACCTAAGAATATAGCCTCATCAGCTTTTGAGTTAAATTTTTTTAAGTTATCTTTACCATTATTTAAAACAAAGCACTTACAACCAAATATTTTTAAATGAGAAACATTAGGCTTCCTTCCATTTAATAATTCATAAGGAGTTAATTTTATGATGGGCCTAATAAGCATTCTATTTAATACATAACATGCAGGACTTACAACATCAACCCAAAAGTATTTAAGAACATTTGATTCATTTAACATAGTTCTAGCAAGTTCCTCTAATGACCTATTTTTCCTTTCTACTACACCATTTTTTTTTTGGGAGTTCTAGGTGCAGAAAAATTATGCAAAATTCCATTTTCTTCACAATAATTTTCAAAAAATTCATTTTGAAATTCCCTTCCATGATCACTCTTTAACACTTTGATTCTTTAAGTCTTTCTCATTTTGAATTTGCTTGGCAAATTTCCTAAAGACCTTAAAAGTCTCACTTTTCAATGTTAGGAAAAATGTCCAAGTAAACCTAGAAAAATCATCAACAATTACAAGAGCATAGTAATTTCTACCAAAACTTTTTATCCTAAATGAACCAAATAAGTCTAAGTGTAAAAGTTCTAAAGGTTTTGATGTGGAAATAACATTCTTAAATTTAAAAGATGATTTTACTTGTTTACCTTTTCGACATGCACCACATAATTTAACTTTGTCAAATTTTAACTTAGGCAAACCAACAACCAAGTCATTTGATATAAGTTTATTTAATTGATGCATATTTATATGAGCCGCTCTTTTATGCCATAACCATAGATTTTCTTCCTTAGCAACTAAGCATGTTATATTCACATTAGATACACAATCCAAGTCAATCAAATAAATATTGTTATGCCTAATACTTTTTAATGCTATATTTTCAGAATCCTTTAAATGTATGGTGCAAAACTTATTTTCAAAAATTACCTTAAATCCTTTACCACAAAGTTAGTTTATACTTAGGAGATTGTGCTTTAGCCTATCAACAAGGAGCACATCCTTTATTTCTAAAGTGTTTGCATCACCAATATTTCCGGTTCCAAGGATTCTTTCTTTATCGTTATCCTCATAGGTCACATATCCTTGTTCCTTTGTTTTAAAACTCACAAATTTCTTTTTATCTCCAATCATGTGTCTTGAACACCCACTGTCAAGATACCACATAGACTTCTTGGATTTTGAAGTTTCCTACAAAATAAGGGAACAATAAACTTAGGTCCCCATATAACTTTTGGGTCTTTGGGGTTAGAAATAATCACATTATTTAACAATAGGAACCTAAATGTATTTTCTTTAGGAACACCAAAATGCTTAATTCTACATTTATTTGAAGTGTGACCATGTTTCATACAATAAAAACATGCGTTTGATGATTTATCTTTTGAAAAGAATTTACTTCCATTTTGTGGAGGTTTAGTTTCTTTCACATTCCATACTTTACAGGTTCTTTCATTTTTAGGCTTTTTCCATGGAACATGATTTTTTACTTGAGTTTGAATAATAACTTCATCCTTGTAACAATCACTTAATTCTTTCTTTGCTTTTTCAAGTAAGTATTTAAGCATGTCATTTTCATGATCATATTCTTTACATGACGCACATTCCCTTTTTCTTCTAAAATCACTATTTTTGATTTGAAATATTCTACTTCTTTGCTGATTTATTCAAATTCTTTTTCAAAGATTTATATTCAGTTTTCAATTATTTAAAAGTAGTAAATAATTCTTGATATGCATTATGCAAAGCATCATAGTCATTCTTATCATCATTTAAAGAACAGTTAGAATCACTTCCCTCATAATTGGAAGATATACTATCATTTGCCATCAAGTAAAGATTTGCTTGAACCTCCGAATCGCTTGACTCCGAACTTGAGTCACTATCATCCCAAGCTATATATGCTTTCTCCTTTGATGTTGGCCTTCTTCATCGTTTAGCCTTCCAAGTTCAAGTTCATGCTCTCTCAACTTTCCAAAGAGAGCTATCATAGTCATAGTGACAAGATTTTGTGACTCCGTAATGGCAGTCATCTTTGGTTGTCATTTCCTGTCTAAAGATTTAAGATTTTTCACATTTAATTCGTCACTGTCAAAAGTCTTACCAAGCCTAGTGAGATGGTTCACAATATGTGTGAAATGCTTTTGAATGTCAAAAATTGATTCTCTCGGCTGCATTCTAAACATTTCATACTCTTGAATCAATGAGTTCTTCCGTACTCATCATCGGTTCCTTCATGAGTTACTCTTAGTATTTTCCACATCTCTTGAGCACTCTTGCAAACGGATATCCTGTAAAACTCATCAAGAGTCAAAACAGACAAAATTATATTCCTAGCCCTAACATCATATTGAGTTTTTCTATTTTCTACTGCAGTCCATCTAGAAAATGGTTTAAGTTCTACATCATTTACAGTAACTTTGGGAATAAAAAGACCATTTACAACGACATCCCATACACCTCTATCAACAGACTCCAAAAATATTTGCATTCTTACTTTTCAAAAAGGATAATTTTGTCCCGCAAAAAGTGGGGGTATGTTGATAGAAGCACCCTCGGCAAAAGTTTGGTTTTGACCGGCTATTTTTGAAATATTTGAAAAATTATCAAAGCAAACTCTGATACCACTTGTTAGAACTTACGCGCAGCGGAATGTTTGAGGTTGCAGACAAAACCAAGAGGGGGTGAATTGGTTTCTTATAAAATTTAGGGTTTTGAAATTTTTCCCAAATTTCATCGATTAAAGTACTTGTAAAGTAAAGAGAGAAAGTATAAGAAGATTACACAAGTGTTTTATACTGGTTCGGATCAAAAGACCCTACGTCCAATTGCTAATCACTCTAAAAGAGGATTAACGCTGTCACTATAATCACAGTTCAAACAGATTACAAATACAAAGATAAAGATTAGAAAACACCTCTCTTGAGTCACACAAGAGATGAACACCTCCTTTGAATCCACAAAGGATGAACAACAACTTTTCCTAAAGACGGCACAACACACAATCCACCAAAAAGTCCCACTCAGTGATTCTTATCGCTTTTAGCCCACACTAGGTTTCAAAAGTCCTTTTTTCTTCCCTACACAAAGTTCTCTAGCAATCACAACTCTTAACTTTTGTATAAAAAATGTTTGTTGTTTTGCAAAGAGCTTTAGAGAACCTTAAGTAGAGAGATTAGGGTATGGGGAAAGAAGATTTCAAAAATAGAAGTATTAGAAATAGGTGTTTCAAAAATTGGTCCAAATTCGAAATTCGAAACTTATAACAGACGTAGATAATCGATTATCTTAAGTGATAATCGATTATCACAGAACCATTTTCGCAGAGGAGTAAACTGGACCAGGATAATCGATTATCTGGGTAGATAATCAATTATTTCAGCTGGGATAATCGATTATTCCAGTAAGATTTTCAGAAATCAGATTTCAATGCAGGATAATCGATTATCCTGAGTGGTTTTGATAAAAATGAACTTTTAGAGGATGAACTATGTGCTGACTATCTTGGACTCTAATTTTACAGACTCAAAAAGACAAAACAGAATTATTACAAGCAAATATAAATGATTTTATGTCTTCAAGTCTTTAAGTCCTTTGTTCTTGAATTATCATCAAAATCTTCAAGCATCATATCCTTGTATAGTCAACAATAGTCATTCTCATATAATTAGTCCACGCCTATTACTACTGTTTAATGCAATGCGACTGGAGCTTTAGATCAAACAGCCATCTTCATTTGTTTGTTATTTTAATATTTTAAATTTCTAATGTTAAACATGTTTACATCAGGGATTTTATAGCCAAAGTAACTTGTATTACACGTAACTTTGAGACAGATATCACCATCTGGCAAAGCTAGACTTAATGTAAGTAATTTATTTAGGGTCTATCTCAGTACCACAAAACGAACTTGTAGGTTGAGTACAGTATATCTCTAGTTGAGACTAAACCACCACCTTTATGGCTGCAATTAAGGCAACCCCTACAAGAGCTGCAACTAAGGGAAGCTAGGGGTGACAACAAGTTAGTTGGCTTTCCAACATTGACTGAATGAATCATTCAACTCTCCACATTCAAGGTGGGTGAGCCATAAACCAAAGAATGGAGTTCAAACACTTTGAGTTTGGTCCTTAGAAAGTGAATTCTGGTAGGAGATAGTGGCTTGGTCATTGATCTCTTGCTGGAGTATGTTGAACTATAACTACACCTTATCTCTATTGCTTGGTTCTTCCATGGAGAGCAGGATTGTGGGCTGATGAGTGACAGCTGGAAGAAATTGCAGGCTAAAATTCAAAGTACCCTTGAGATACCTCAAGATCATTTTGGAGTGCAGTCCAATAAAACTCCAATGTTTAGTCATATATTGACAATTTTTGTTCACAACAAAGCTTGTCTTATGTGTGTTGATGTTGCATAGTGAAGAGCACCAACCACTGGCCTGTAAAGAGTGGGATCAGGCAAAAGATTAGCACCAAATATGGAGAGCTTGAGGTTTGAGGCCATAATAGATGAGATGGCCTTGCTTTAGCCATATTTGTCCTGTGGAGGAGATTTCAAATCTATTACTTTTGAGTGAGAAGAATGGATATAGGGACTTCAATGCCAAGAAAATAGTCAAAGTTGATTAAGAGAACTTGAACACTAATACTTGAGCTGCCCATGATGATCATCATGCACCAAGAGATACGCTTTATCAGTTTTCACTTTATAGACAAAAGTGAAGGATGGCAATTGTTTGCTGTAAAGACAAACTGAATGTGTGTTTTGCTTTATTCAATTATACATACTAAAGAGCTATTCAAAGAATGCATTATTTACATCTAGCTGATGTAAAATTCAATGTTGATTGAGTACCAAGGTAGACATTAATGTGATTACTATGGACTTACTGTAGAGAAGGTTTCATTGAAGTTGAAACTATTAAGTTGATGAGAACCCTTGGTCACTAACCTGGCCTTAAATTTATTGACTGATCCATGAACATTTTCTTTAATATGAAACACTAGTTGTCTATTAGGAGGAAGAGGTTATTTTTCAGGAAGGCATATTCCTCTTGCATAGCAGAGCTTGCTTGACATTCAGTGTTAGGTCCAGTGAGTCAGAAACAGTGAAGGGCGCATCCATGATTGTATCAGTATTAATAACATGATTTGGAGTGGTCTGCATATGGTGAACATTGGTATATCTGGTGGAAGGGTCAATAGATACTGGATTGGACAGAGGAAGGGCATAATCTATTAGGGTGACGAGCTAGGGAGTAATGTACAAAGGAGTGGATGGTACTAGGTACAATGATTTGGGAGGAAGACTGATGGTTGTTATTAGAAGAGGCAACAAGAGGAATTAAGATAAGAGGTTGAGGTGAGGAGGATTGAGGAGTATCACAATGGAAGTGTGGTAAAAAGGTTGTGGATAGGAAAGTGAAGCTCATTGACGACAACATCCTTAGTGATAAAGAATTTTCTGGTCGTAGAAAAAAAGCTATAACCTTTGTGAGAAGTGAAGTATTGTTGGAAGAGACATTCAAGGGAGTGAAGCTGCAGTTTATTGGAGATGTATGGTCTTGAAGAGGGGAAACAAACACTAAAAAAAAGTTAAAAGGTGTTAATATTAAGGTGGTTGCCCAAACAGAACAGTGTAAGTTACTGAAAAATTGAGAGAGAGAACATGGAGGGACAGAGTGAAGTGTGAAAGAGGGATAGTGGAAAAAAAACATGAATTATGGGTTAAAACATAAACTTACCTTTAACCCTGAGTGTGAAATAACCCCCAAAAGTAAGAACAACAACGTTTTGGGGCTGTAGTTGTGCCCCTAAGGTTAAATCTAAAATCCTGTGCTGAACATTGCAAAAACAATGCCTTCTTTCTGATTTTGGATTGAATATGCTATGCAATATCTGCAACACCAAGGTGCGACATGATGTGACCTTTTGCAAGGTGGTGGTGTTGCTCCTCTCTATACTGGCACGCTATTGACTCTTATGGGCTAAACCCAACTCTACCGTGTAGTGGTATTTTCTTTTTACAACATTTGATGATGTGAGGTATTTTATAATAAGAGTTTGTTTGATTTAGTTTTGTTTTTTAGTTTTTAAAAACAGTTTTAGAGATTAATTTTGAAAAACTGTTTTGAAAGTTAGTTGGAAAAAAAACTTGTTTGATAACTCTATTTTTGAAAAATATTTTAAGCAAAAGAGAATGGTATAGATGACTGCGAAAAAGTTGTGATAAAAATTTGAAAACAATTTTGATGATTTTATGGTGATGATAATGTGTGATTTAATGTAATTATTGGTGAAAATATTGTTACCTCTGGAAAATTAGATTAAATAAAATCTTATTTTATTATTTTAATACAAAGAGATCATACAAGATATATCCAGGAGACCTAAGCTATTTTAGGAAATATAATAATTCTATTTTATTCTAGGATCTCTTGATTTATGGGATTGTTCCTAATTGTTCAAATATGTACAGATTACAAATTTCCTAATTTATTCTTTCCTAAAATACAATTTGATTTCCCACACTCCCCCTCAAGCGGGTGAATAGGTGTTTTCTATTCCCAACTTGGATACAATTTTCTCAAAATTGTGGCAGCTCAGTCCCTTGGTAAGGATGTCTGCAATTTGGTCTTGAGAGGATACATATGGAGTGCATATCAAGCCACTATCAAGCTTTTCTTTGATGAAATGTCTGTCTACTTCAATATGTTTTTGTTCTATCATGCTGCACTGGGTTGTGGGCTATGCTGATTGCTGACTTATTATCAAAATAGAGCTTCATAGGTTCTTCCCATTTTATCCTCAAGTCTTCTAAGATGATTTTAAGCCATAGCAACTCACATATACCTTGTGTCATGACTCGGAATTCAAATGAGCCAAACTACTGAATATTTTGTATCAACAGTAACATGATATGAAGCACCTGAGTCAGGGAAGCAGGCAGGGCTTGTTGTAAGGATTCAGGTACCAAATGGAAAGCAAGGGGAAGTGACCAAATATTGAGGAGGAGAGATGAGGAACAAGGATTAAATCAATTAAACTGAAATCTTACTGTGGAAGATATTCTCAACAGAGTTCTGTTACAACTAAATATAAGTTGTAACTCTAACTTACAACTGTCAGTTTAAGCAGAATATAAATGTTCTTTGACATGCACTCTTTGGAGAGACTATAATTTTATGATCTGCGTACATTGTTTTTTCTCTTTTTAAACTTTTCACTGTCCTTTTTAAGTTTCTTTAAAGTGAACTTCTTCCGTCATTTTATGGGCTGGTATGATTTTTAATATCTGTTATATTTTCAGCAAAAGTTGGCTAAACGAGAAGCTGGAACCATAGATAGAAGTCAGGACGTAGCTCGGTTACAAGAGTTCTACAAGAGTTACAGAGAGAAGAATAATGTGGATAAATTACGCGAGGAAGAAATGAAGTTGAGGGAATCTGGTGCTTTTAGCCGGGATCTTGGCGAGTATGTATTTTGACTGAGAAAATGTGACAACACTCATTTTGATTATCCTGTGCTTCCCCTTTGCCCTTCCTGTTGTGGTACCACATGCCTCAAAATAAGTTATAAATATGTCTGATTGTTTACTTTTTCAGATGTTGTTACCCATCCATAGGGATAAAGTTTTATTGTTGTTATTTGCAATACAATTTTAAATAGTTTTGATAGAGTGCACGGATAGATGAGAAAAAGTATAACTTGAGTTTTGTTGTTGTTACATGCAATGCAGTTTTAAATAGTTTTGATAGAGTGCATGGATAGATGAGAAAAAATATAACTTAATTGAAACTACTCCCTCCATTCCTGAATACAAGACTTATAGCTAGTTCACACTTTTGTTAACTAATTCACACTTTTTAACAAAGTTGGTTGATTAGTTGGTATCATTTGATTTGTTTGTATTTTTAATGTTTTTTCAAAATTACCCTTAAATGATTAATGTATGAGGAGAGAATATTTTTAGTAAGTTTTAATATTTGAAACTAAACTCTTCAATTTTCCAATCTTCATAAGATAGAAAGAGATAATTCTTAGCATTTATTTTTTCTACTGAAATAGATGAGGGTGTTTTGGTAAAAAATAATGAGTGTAGGGGACAATTAGAAAAGAGTCTTATAAAAAAGGTTTAAATAAATTCCAAAGCAATGTCTTATAATTTGGAATGAAGGGAGTATATATTACTCTGAAAAGTCCATCTATGTATAGATAGACTACAATAGGTCATGGACTCAAAGCCCAGGTTCATACATTTAAGAAATGTTATTAACAAGAGCGATTCAGTAGAAGGTAAGATTTATATTTATATATTTATCTCTAATAAGATTTTGTAGTTGAGTTTTTTTTTTTTTTGCTTTTTGTTTCAAGAATACTTATAATTATTGCCCAAAATTGAAATTTTGTAAGTCATCCATAATCTTATTCATTGGTAAGAAAATGATAGATATGTCTAAATAACTGACAGCTGTACTGTCATGATAACTAAATGACAGTTATGTCTAAATAACCAATAGAACTGTCTGGTAGAAAATAAGGATGAAGATGGAAAGTGCTTTAACACTAATTTTGTTTTGAAGAATTCATAATCTGTCTCTTGTAGAGATTTGAACTCATCAGCAATAAGATATTGTGCAGGAACATGAAAAGCTTGAGACTAATTGATGACACTTTCCCTAGAAAAGATCCAACTCTACGTGTTTAGTATGTTAGTGTAACTCAAGATTGTTACTAAGCAACAGTGTTATAGTGTGTTGGTTATCTCAAAATATGGTAGCAGTACAGAATTGAATTTGAAGTTCACTAGAAAAGATTGTACCCAGATATCTTTTGTTGCAGTCCTTGTTTGAACCCAAGGTTATCAATATTGGAAGGCTGCAATTCTGTCTTGTAAACACGTTGGTGCGGGCCTCTCTTCACAAATAGACTATGTTGGATAGGTTGAAAAGTACCATGTGTTAGGAAATAATGATTAAGCTACTGTGGAATTAAGGAAAATTACCATTAGAAGCTAAAAGATAAACATTCACGATCTGTATTCATTATAATAGGTAAGGAGGAATACACTTTTATAACCTAAAAGATACTAAACAACTTAATAATGACCCTACAATTTTTATCATGTAATTTAGGGAGTAAAAATATAAACTAAACAATATTTTATAATATTATTTATTCTTAGACGATGCTATAAATTCCTTAAACCATTTAATTTTCTTTCTTTTGGGCCTCTTTAGGTCCATGCTATCCCCATGTTATAATATTATGGCAGTGCTATAATGATTGTTTAAAAAAATTTGTTTGAATCTGGAACAACAAAACTTTTTTTCTCAACTATCCACTCTAGAGTTCAAAATAATTATTTTCTTCACATATGAAAATTTTGTTGCTTTACTAAAAAAATAGTTCACTGTATAAACTTTGTTCATGGACTTGTTTAATTTAAATGATTTTCTATCTCTGGTAATGTACATATGCAACGTGATTTTTGTTGGTTATGCCGATTCCTTCTGTTTTGAGTGTTTTCCTATTTAATACAGGTTGGAGCGCAAGACTGTGAAGAGGAAAAGGGTTTTTGCTACCTTAAAGGTATTGGGAACTGTACTTGAGCAGCTGAGTGAAGAAATTCCGGATGAGGTTCGGTTCATACCTTCTTGGCACTCTTAATATTATCAACTACCATATTCCAGCTTTGTTTATCTTTATTAATTAGCTTTTTTAGGGAGCATTGTTGTTTATTCTGCTACTGAGTTAGTTTGCAATTTTGAGCGATTTCTCTTTTTTCATTTTTTTATTTCTTTTTGCAATATTTCACTTTTATAAGTTATGTGAAAATAATAGTTAAATGTTTTAAGACAGATCCTTTAGTGAAACTCTTTTGTAGGCTTTTTATCTTCCTGTACTTTTTATCAGAATTTATGATGTTTCCTCTCCCTTTTAATTGTGTTATTTTTCAAATTTGTTTTCTTACCCTTCTTCCTTTTGTTGCTATTACTTTTTAGTGTTTTCTCAATTTTTTTTTATCCCTTGATTACCAGATATTTTGCTGCTGTACAGACGATAACTATTTCAAAATATTTACTGTTATTAAACTGGTTGTCTGTTGGGGGTGGTGGGTTTATATGTTGGCAAAGTTGGTGGTGTTGAGCAGTGTCGGATGAAACCATTAGTTGTAGAATTTATTTTCCAGTTAAAGTTATTCTTGCACCAATAAATAGCTTTTTATTGCATAAGGATAAATATAAGCATGTGTTAGTATACAACATTGCTATTGTGATGAATTTTCTATTACTATTGCACAGATAAAGGATTTTGGAATGGAGTCAAAATTGCTTTATGAAGGAAGCCACTGTTTGTGGTGTTAGTATATTTCTATGCATAGATTTCTTTTCAGTGTACTTTTGAGCATGGGGCTAGAATTTGATGGGGTTAGCATTTGCTGATTTCATTTGCATTTTTTTTTCCTATGGCTTTTATTTATTTTTCTCTGGGTGTAATTAGATTTATAATAAGGAATGAAGTAAAATGATTGTGTAGGTGAGTTGGAGCTTGGAAATGTGTTATTACTTTTCCATTTCTCATGCATCTCTACATCTGTGTTTTTGTTACAGCTGAAGCGGGTTATGGACTCAGATTCTTCATTGACAGAGGATCTGATTGCATACAACATCATCCCCTTAGATGCTTCTTCTTCAACAAATGCTATTGTTTATTTACCTGAGGTGTGTTTATTTGTTTGAGATCCCAACTTTTTACTTATTCAGGTCTACTTATTACCTGAAAAAAAATTATTGTCAGGTGCAAGCAGCAGTTTCAGCTTTGAAGTATTTCAATGGCTTGCCGGAGTTGCCCAGGGGAGATTTCATTCCTCCATCGAGGAACAATAACTTGTTCGACTTTTTGCAGTATACTTTTGGATTTCAGGTCTGTATACTACGGTTTGCATGGTGTTTGAAGTCAAGATTGTTGTGAATCTTTCATTTGTACAAAATATTTATTCGGTTCTCAGATTAAGTTGGCTTTATCTCTGCTATGTAGTGAAGCTAATCAGCATATTTATTGGAATATGTTAGCGATGGTGGGCTAATCTAAATATATTTACTGAACTTTTAAAGTCCTCTTTGCTGACTTATACATTTAGGGAGGATAAAAGTTCAAGTTATTGCATCCCATAATCCATTTCTTCCTCTATTCTGCTTTACAACAATGATTAATTTACAAGTTTGTTTTCTATATCAGTTTGTTACTACCAAGTATGGGGAGTTATAACAAGTTACTGGATTTTCTGAAATGTTTGTTGGACATGTGCAACAGCTATTGTAGTTCTCAGTATCACACAAGTCTCTTCTAAATTGGAACTCTCTTTTTAAATATTCACCTTGAATACGATACTATTTTTCAAATGTGCAAATTATGCTAGTAGAGAGGCAGTAATAAAATCATTATAGAATAGAACGATTCCCACATAATCAGCTTCAATATATGATGCATATATTAACAATTGCATTGTTTAGTGAAAAATCTCTTGGAAATAAACTTGTGGACTAGAAGGGATTGAAGAGATTGCTGGAATAGCTCCCTTACCAATTTTGATGGCATGTTTGCTTTAAATTTAAATTATTTGGTGCCAGAGATGAATCAGGAAATAATGAATTTATTATGCTGTGGAAACTCATAATTTTTCATAATTTGCCTTTCTGACTTTTATTCTGTCTTAATTGTCTGAAAAAAAATTGTTATGAACTTTTTTTGTAATGGTTTGTGGTTCAGAACTGTTTTATGCATTGGTACTCTTGCCAAGTTTTTTTTTTTTTTTTTTTTTCTATTACTTATAAGAATAACTTTTTGCTTCCAGAAAGATAATGTAGCTAATCAGCATGAACACATAGTTCACCTGCTTGCAAATGAGCAATCTCGTCTTAGAATTCCAGATGCAGCTGAACCTGTAAGTTTTTTAATTCATTTTTTATATTTGAGGATTTTATACATTATACTGTTGTTGCATTGAAAATATGGGGCTATGGGCCTGGACACTTTGTAGCCCCATGGTGAATAGTAATATGAATAGTTTCTTGTTGAGGGCTTTGAGAAAATGGGACATTAATTTTTCCGAATGTGTTTGAGTGTTCTTTCCACTCAGCAAATACAGGTGTTCACGGGTTGTTAAAATCATATTTGGGAGAAAATAGAGTCCAAACCTATCAATATTTATTGGGTTGGATTGGTTTAGATTAAAAAAAAAAATTTAAAATCCAAACTAAACCAACCTGATAAAAAGAACAAGTTGGTTTGATCCAATTATATATATATATATATATATATATATATATATATATATTTTTTTTTTCAAAATTATATTTTAATAAAAAGTATATAATTGTTCTAAAATTTCAAACGTAGTTCACTCTGAGGGTTAGAGTGAGAATGGAAATTAGATAGAAGAAGAGGGTAATTCGATCATTAAATCTTTTGGTCAAAACTGTCATTTAACATATGGCTCAAAGTAACATAAATATTGGAGTAATATGACTAAAACAGGGTGTATCAGTGTAATTTTGTTTAGAAAATTAAAGCTCTTATTACCTGCACATACTTTAATTGCTGAGTTAAATTCTGAATTCTTGAAGATGTGGGCCAGACGGCCTATGAGTAGTTGTGAGCTAGGCTGAAGCAAGTTGTTATTGAATATTGAGAGGGGATATCTGTGGACGATGAGGAAAATGATGCTAAAAGATTCTTTTTGACATTTTCATGGTGTTTAACTCGTTGGTATACTAACCAGTTGACTTTTTCATGGTGCATAACTCATTGGTGTATTAACCAGTGTTATTTTATTGTGCATGTGTGTGCACGTGCTTGAGTATGGTTTAATTTTGTTTTCCAATTCTCTTTTACTTTTAAATGAATTCCTGTCAGATTACAAATGTAAGAATGAAGTATCCCGTTAGTGATCTCCAACTAATACTGAGCACAACATACTCTATTACTCTGTAACACTGCAGTCAGACAAATTATGCCATCCTCTATTTCCAATGTGGAAGCATCTAAAGTGAATACTGGGACTGCTTTGAACTCAATTTATTCTTAGAAAAGTTTCTGTATGGAAATGTTTGAATAAATGACACTTGTTTTCAAGTAAAACACTGAACTTTTTGTATATCTATTACTGAGTTCTGCTTATAAATGAACAACTTGAACGTTAGACAAATGGTTGCACGAAGGGAAAAATTTCTGCTTAAATAAATTGATGTGGAAAACTGTACAATGACTCACAAGAATATGTGTAATAAATATGAGCAGTTCTGCTTGATAATCTTTTTTATTTTTTACAGATTTGTCACCCAGATGTTTACATATTTTTGTATGTTATTTTTTCTTTACTCATGTCATGTATATTTTTGTTTTGATTCCAGAAATTGGATGAAGCTGCTGTGCAGGCAGTCTTCCTCAAGTGCCTTCAGAATTACATTAACTGGTGTAACTATTTACGCATTCAGCCTGTTTGGAGCAGGTACTATTATATCCCTGTTTTGTTTGAAAAATAATTGAAATTGACTGGTCAGGATTGCTAAAGATTGAATGACGGTGTGTAATGGTGTTTGTGCAGTTTGGAGGCTATCAGTAAAGAGAAAAAATTGTTATATGTTTCTTTGTACTTCCTAATATGGGGTGAAGCTGCAAATATCAGGTTTCTAGCAGAATGCTTGTGCTACATATTCCATCATGTAAGTTTATTGGACAAGTTCGAGTCAGTTCTTTGATTGGTTCTTAAAAGATTTTTCTTGAGTTAAGGTTTATTGAACTTTAATAGGGTATTATTTTATTAACCTCAAATTATCTTTTGTAAAAGAAGATATGTTGATCAATTGGTAGTGAAAATAAGTTTCTATGATGTCCAATATATCCCTTTTTTTTTTTCAAGTGTTTTTTATGCTGAAATGTACTTTTTTTGAAACTGCAATTTAGTTGGTATAATTTGTCATTGTTATATTGTTTGATGTGAAAGGCATTTTTCCTTTAAATGTATAAATGAATTATGTTTCTGAAAGACTATCCCAGAGACAAATGTGTCATATTGTGAATGTTCTCTGTCCACAAACTGCAAATAACTTAACCTTCCTAATTGGACTCCCTTCGATAACATACATACTTTTAATGAAAAGCTAACACTGGTTATTGTCTATGCATAACTGTCATCACGCAGTTATCTAATATTCCTAAATCTTAATATATGACTGCCAGCAGTTATTTTTTACGAATAGCTTCCCTTCTGGAGTTTCTAATACAGAGCTGCTTTCTAATAGATTTGCTATTCCAAAAATTATTTTCTATAACAGATACTCCCTAATAACCAACTACCCGTAATGTATCCTATGGGTTCATCTTCATTAAAAGCAGGCAGTTCTACTCTTTAAATCACCGTTTGATACTTATGTATAGAATGATTAAAGTCTGTATTAGTCTGCCATGTTCCTTATTTCTGCAAAAAACTTCTCAGAATTTTCTTCCTAGTCATTCATTCACCCAAGTTTTCTACTCTGATTTAGATTTTATCTACTTTTCTACAATGTATCTGCATGATCTATATCACTTTTTCCATGGGAGAATTCTCCCTGCTGGCCTCAAGCAGTTTTGCTTCTTTCGATCTGGCAGATTGAACCAAATGATGGAATGAACAATTCATTAAGCAATTAAATAGAATGTTGAGTGCTGGAATCACATACAATACAGATATGCACTTGCTGTCTCTGAGACAAAAAGCTCCAAATATATAAATATGTCGATCTATTTTTTATTTGTAATTGTTATCATGCAGTTTGAATAGAAAACTGCATTCCAATAGATTTGCTATACTCCTAGAGGGGGATACGGACTCTCAAAATATTGTGATTTTGGTTAAGGTTAAGCTGATTAGGGATATGGACTCTCAAAATATTGTGATTTTGGCTAAGGTTAAACTGATTAGGGATATGAACTCTCAAGATATTGTGATTTTTGTTAAGGTTAAACTGATTAGGGATATGGACTCTCAAGATATTGTGATTTTGGTTAAGGTTAAATTGATTAGGGAGTCTGTTCGAAAGAATATTTCTAACATTTATCTACAATTTCTAAATTATAATAATACCAAACTGTTTCCTATTAGATTTGCTATTTCAGAACAAGTTATTTTCTATCACACTCCTATTAATGAACTAACTACCTGACGATCTTTGACCCATTAATGGAACTAGGATCTTAGTTCCATCTGCTTGATTAAATTGCTTCAAATAATATCATGCAAAAGCTGTATCTTTTATTCACTTGTATTTAATTCAATCAAATAGGCCCAAAATTAAGTATGCGTATCATGACCAAAACTAACTCAATGGTCTTATTGGAAATCTCACGCCAAACAGAAATATGACCAATATATATGTAAGGTACAACCCCTACTTTTCAAGCCGATTTTGTAAGATTGAGTTAGACTTAAATCCAAATTTTGAGAAGTCTTATCTGATATTTTCTTAAATGGTTACTATTATTTCAATTGCAAAGTCAAGATTTTTGGAGTTTCCCTGACTGTAATTGTGATCACTTTGTCTACCATTCTTCTGCAATATAAAGTTACGGCAAAACTGGAATTTCAAACCTTGTTTTCAACACAATAATCCGAATTAAAGGAATATATACATGATACATAATTATTTGATGAACTTGTGGAGGTTTTTAAATAGAAAAATTCTCATTAGGTGAGGTTTCTAGCAGAATATTATTTGTGAAACAGGTATGCAAAAGCATAACTATAATATTCTAGATCATATTAATCAATTATTTTGTGGATTCCATACTAGATAAAAGTCCCGAACTCCCAAATAATCAATTATGATAAGTGGATAATTAATTATCCTTAGAATATAATTGATTATCTGATGCTTCTTGAATATGACATGCAGAGGTAGTTGATTATTACTTGATATTCAAAACAGAGAAAAAGTGTTTTTAGAGGGCTTGAAGAACCCCTCTCATGGATCTCTATTTATATAGATAAAAATTGATACAATAGGGTGATTACATTAAATGCACAGTCCTAGACTACTCCTCAGAACTAGGTGCAGAGATTATCTAACACTCAACCCCCTACCTTAGGTATAATGATTACATATATTTTCTAATCTATTCCAACACTCTCCCTCAAGCTGGAGCATACAAATTGTATGTACCAAGCTTGGAACAAATGAACTCAATCCGAGGTCCCCTTAAGGACTTGGTAAACACCTGCGAGTTGGTCATTTGATCCAACAAACTCGGTACATATTTCTTTTGTCAACAACTTTTCACGAACAAAGTGACAATCAATTTCTATATGTTTAGTTCTCTTGTGAAACATGAGATTTGATGCAATGTGGAGAGCAGCTTGATTATCGCAATATATCTTCATAGTCTGGATATCACAGAAGTTAAGCTCTTGAATGAATTGCTTCACCTATATAAGTTCACAAGTTAGTGACGTCATTGCCCTATATTCAGCTTCAGCTGTCGATCGAGCCACTACATTCTGTTTCTTACTTTTCCATGAAATAATGTTTCCTCCAAGGAAGACACAATACCCAGTAGTAGACCGTCTGTCAACAGGTGAACCTGCCCAATCTGCATCACAGTACCCAGTGACCTGAATGCTTCCTCTATCTTCATATAACAATCGTTGCCTGGGAGCCTTTTTGAGGTACCTTAGAATGCGAATGATAACATTCTAATGGCCAACACATGGAGCATGCATGAACTAACTAACCACTCCAACTGCAAAAGATAGATCAGGCCTTGTAATAGTGAGATAAATCAGTTTTCCGACTAGTCCCCTATATCTCTCTGGATCAGAGAATACTTCACCTTCTTCTGTTGTTAATTTCTGATTTGGGTCCATAGAACTATCTACAGGTCTACAGTCAATTGTACCTGTTTCTTGTAATATATCAAGAACATATTTTCTCTAAGAGATTACAACTCCATCTTTTGATTGAGCTACTTCAATGCCTAAGAAATATTTTAGGCTTCCCAAATCCTTGGTTTGAAAATGTCTGCACAAGTATTCATTCAGTTGAGATATTCCAATAGTATCATTTCCTGTAATGACTATATCATCAACATATACTATTAAGTAAACACATTTGCCCAGAGATGTATGACAGTAAAAGACTGAATGATCTGCTTCACTGCGTCTTAGCCCAAATTTTTGAACAATGGAGCTAAATTTTCCAAACCAAGCACGTGGTGATTGCTTGAGGCCATATAGAAAGCGATGCAATTTGCATACCAGTCTAGACTCCCCTTGAGCAACAAACCCAGGAGGTTGCTCCATGTAAACTTCGTCCTCAAGATCACCATGTAGGAAGACATTTTTGATATTGAATTGATGAAGTGGCCAGTGACGAATGACAGCCATTGCAAAGAACAGATGAATAGTAGTAGTCTTGGCCACGGGAGAGAAAGTGTCACAATAATCAAGGCCATAAACCTGAGTGTACCCTTTTGCAACTAATCGAGCCTTGAGCCGATCAACTTCACCATCAGGACTGACTTTAACAGCATACACCCAGCGACAACCAACTGCCTTTTTGCCCAGTGGAAGGGGCACGAGCTCCCAAATAGCATTATGGTCAAGAGGCTGCATTTCTGCAATCATGGCTTGTCGCCATCCAAGGTGATTAAGTGTTTCTTCCACATTTCTTGGAATAGCAATAGAAGATACTAAGGATAAAAGGGAACAATAGGAAGACGACAATCTATGATAGCTAAGAAAATTTTAAATAGGATGTGGGTTTCGTGTGGAACGAGTACCTTTTCTGAGAGTAATGGACCATCTTGAATCACCTTAACCAGGAGTCGTGGTAGGAAGCGATGTTGGAGAAGAATATAAAGTGGGGGATTCACCCTCTTCTTGGAGAACAGGACTAGCCATCAAGGTCCTATGATTGACAATATCAATGTGAGGGGATGATGGTTCAGGAAGACTTGGATCACGACTGAGATCGATAGAGACATTGGAAATATTAGACTCAACCACTGGAATGGGAAGGACCTGCTGTATGACATGAACATCTTGAACAGAAGGAGAAAAGTAAGGAGTCTGTTAAAAAAATGTAACATTGGCAGACATGTAGTACTTCTTGGTTTCAGGAGAGTAGCACTGATACCCTTTTTGAAGGCGGGAATAGCCCAAGAAGACACATTTGATAACACGAGCAGAAAACTTGTCTAACCTTGGAGACATGTCATGAACAAAACATACACAACCAAAAACTCAAGGAGAGGTGTGAAAGAGAGGATTACTTGGAAATAGAATGGAGAAAGAGACCTTATTACTGAGAGAGGAAGATGACATTCTGTTAATAAGAAAACATGCAGTTAAGATGCCATTCCCCCATTGATGGACAGGAATATGGTGATCCACCAAAAAGGTACATGCAGTTTCAATCAAATGTCTATTTTTTCTTTTTGCTATACCATTTTGCTGTGGTGTATGAGGACAGGTGGACTGATGCAATATTCCATGTGAACTCGAAACAACAAAAAAGGTGGATGAGAAGTACTCTTTAGCATTGTTACTTCTTAACATTTTGATTACTTGACCGAATTGATTTTTGATTTCATTCAAAAAGGATGTAAAGATGGGTAACAATTCAAAGCGATCTTTCATAAGATAAACCCAAGTACATCGCGAATATTCATCATTGAATGTAACAAAATACCAAAAACCATAAGATGAGATGCGACTGGGTCTCCAAATATCAGAATGGATAATAGAGAAACTGGAAGTACACTTTGATTGAGACCTTTTAGGAAAGGTAGGTCTAACATGTTTTCTTAGTTGACATGACTCACATTCTAAGGTCTGGAGACCACTAAGTTCAGGACACATTCTTTTTAATTTTGACAAATGAGGATGGCCAAGCAGATCATGTAACATTTTAGGGCTCGGAGTAGCAACATAGGACTCACGTGGATGAGGGCCATAAAGGTATAATCCTCCAACTTCATATCCTTCTCTAATCCCTCTCCCCGAACCATGATCTTGTATAACAAAAGATTTGTTATCGAAGGTTATTGAACAATTTAAGGTTTTGGTTAACTGGCTTAAGGAAATTAAATTGAGAGGACAATTAGGAACAAAAAGGACAGATTTTAGGCTTATGGAGGGAGACAAGGAAACTTGGCCCACTCCCTTTGAGGAAGCTTTAGAGCCATTTGCAACGGTTATGAAATGTTTTTCTTGAAAGGAAATGGTTGAGAACAAGGAGGTATTACCAAATATATGATCAGAAGCACTAGAGTTAATTACCTATGAATTTTGACCCTCCATAGATTGAGAAATGCAAGCAGTTGATGTGCTGGGAGTTTGAGAGGTCTGTGCCAAGCTATTAGAATTCAACCGTAGATACTCTTGGTATTCGTCCTCAGTGAACTTGGAGTCGACGTTTTCAGCCTTCGAGACATTGACGGTTTTGGGAGGAAAACCATGCAAGGAGTAGCAGTTGTTTTGTGTGTGACCCATCCTCTTCCTGTAGGTGCATTGGGGACGTTTTCGACCTCCACGTCCTCCTCTTCCTCCTATGGCAACCATGACATATGGTTTTACTAGAGCATGAGCTTCCTGAGTTTCAGGCACCGTACACAAATCAAGCGTGTGATTAGGGTATCCATTGAAAGAACTTCATGAGTGGGAAGAAGTTGATCTCTGATATAGTTAAAGTTAGGATGTATTGCGCAAAGGATCATCACCATGTAATACTTGTCAAACTTCTTCTTCATTTCATCAAAGGAGTCGACTTCCAAGAACATCTTTAGTTCTTCCACAGCTGACTGGGCGTCATTCATGAAGGACGCCATATCATGATTTGTCATTTTTAGAGATGCCAGCTTATTTGCGGAATCGTAGAGGTGTTGGATATCAATGACATAAATGGTTTGAGCTTTCTTCCAAAAAGAGTGACAAGTTTTGAAGGCTCTAAGCGACATCAAAAGTCTTGCTTCCACCGATTGTCACAATAGAGCACATAGTTGAAAATTTGTCTGTTTCCACTGTTCAACTTTTTCTTTCGACACATGGCTTTCATCTTTTTCAAGGTGGTCGTGATGTCCCTGACCGAGAACCACATTTCGATAGCAACATACCAAGATAGATAATTTTGTCCGTTTAGCTTTTCGGAAGTAATGGAGGGGCTTCCAGAAAATGAAATTGTAGCCATTTCTGATCAAGAGGACAAAAACTAGTGAGGAGGTGCGAAAACAACAAGGAAAGCTGAAAGCCCAAGAGTGATTTTCGCAAGGGTGGCTACTAGACTTCATCGAAATGAAGTTTTGAGGGTCAGAACAGGGAGCATGAGGATGCTTCGATGATCCTAATAGAGGTGACGCGGCGATGTTCCGACAGAGAGAAGGCGGCACGTGGATGACACGCGCCAGGATGCAGCGGAGAGAAAGGCGGCGCGTGGAGGCGAAAAAGCTTCCAGGACTGGCAGGGTTGGCTGTCGCCCGACGAGGTGATTTAGATCCCGTGGTTGCCGGCGAAACTGGATGACCGGAGATGGTGGCGGCGAACGGCGACAAAAATAGTGCCGGAGTCTATAGAGACAGGTAGAGCGGGATCGACCCACTCTGATACCAACTTGATATTCAAAACAAAGAAAAAATGTTTTTAGTGGGCTTGAAGAACCCCTCTCATGGTTCTTTATTTATATAGATAAAAACTGATACAATAGAGAGATTACATTAAATACGCAGTCCTAGAGTACTTCTTAGAACTAGGTGCAGAAATTATCTAACACTCAACCCCCTACCTTAAGTATAATGATTACATATATTTTCTAATCTACTGCAACAGAAGGCTATATAAAGAGTCTTTTTAAAGTTCACCTTGAGAATATCATTTAGAAATTTTTAATTATTTTCTAAAATATTTTGTATATACTTTAACTGATGTATTCACATCTGGTGAATATTTTGCTTACCAATCTTTTTCTTGCTATTTTGTATACTGCAATGCCTTTTATTTTCTTCCGTGCCTGAATTTTTCGTTTAAGTCTTGCTTTTGTATATTCCCCTTCAATGCTGTTTGTGATATTTGTTATGAATATGAGATGCAGATGGCCAGAGAGATGGATGAGATTTTAAGACAGCAGATTGCACAGCGAGCTAAAAGTTGCACGGATGATTCTAAGGATGGTGTCTCATTTCTTGATAATGTTATCTTTCCTCTCTATGATATTGTTTCCGCCGTAAGTTTCATCAAATTTTCTGCAATAATCACATATATGAATAGCAACTGATGACCCCAGTCTTAGATTGTGTCTTATGTTAATGGGATAAGCAAGGAAATCTTTTTCTTAAGAAATATTCTAACTACTCCAAGAAGTGTGTATATAAAAATTGGAAATAAATGCTAAGGGCTAGTGTTGTCAGGTTTTTGGTTTTTTAAAATTAAAAAAAAAACTTGTTTGATGATTGTTTTGTTAAAATAATTTTCTAAAACTGTTTTGGTTTTTAGTTTTTAAAAACTAAGAAATGTAAAGTGATAAAATGTGATTTTTTGTTTTAGTTTTCTTTTTTTATTAATAGTATGTGTTTCCACCAGTGGTTACATTACGTACCTCGACTTCATCACTACAAAGTTGTTGAAGTCATCTTCCAACTTTTGTTGTGATTGTTTGTCATCATTGACATGATCCTCTGTTTAAAATAGTTTTCGAAAGTAGATTTATGAAACAAGTTTTTTCCAACTTATTCTTAAGAAGAGTTTTTCAAATTAATTACCATAACTGTTTTCAAAAAGTAAAATACAAAATTCAATCAAACACGTCCTAAGTTCTTGAGTGTGTTTGGATTGTGTGTTTCTTTCCTTTTCAATATAATGAGAAAACAAACTTGAAATGTGTTTGATTGGGCTAAGTGTAATGAGAGCATTACTGAGGAAACAGAAGTTAAAAATACAGGCAAATTCTTAATTATTATAATTATTTTTTGAAAACCTAAAAAACAAGAAATATATTTTTCCTTCATTGCTCTTAAATCATCTCTTAACCCCCTTCCAAAAGAGAATGTGCCCCATTTTGTTTTTGCTTTAATATTGTCGTGGATAACAGGCTCTTTCTCGTGTTCTTTGTGTAGTAATGAATACTAATACGTTATATATTGAGATCTTTCTGATAATCTTACAAAATAAGTCGGTTGTGTTCATTGATTTGCCTGAATGACTACTATGGTGATGTGGGTCATTTGAATATACACAACCATTTATTATGGTCATTAATTTGGTTTCTCAATGTTCAAAATTGACATAAATGTAGTTTTACAATGTATATTTAAACCTCAAAATTGCCCTTTATTTACTGATTAATTTAATGTACTTTATATCTTTCAAATACAAGCTTGATCTTTTACTATCTATTTTTGGATTTCTAAAGTGTAATATTCATTAATTTATCTCTGTAGTTTATGTTGTCTAAATGCTGAAAAGAAATTTGCAACTTGAGTTTAGACTTTTGGTTTAGAAATATGAATTCGTAATTTATTTGCATGGACTTCAGGAAGCTGCAAACAATGATAATGGGAAAGCTCCCCATTCATCCTGGAGAAATTATGATGATTTTAACGAGTATTTCTGGTAAAAGTTATTTGACAACCATCTTTGATGCTTCATTTATTTTTATTTCATTTACTGACCTCCTCTCTCTTCTTAAGGTCACTCCATTGTTTTAAACTTAGTTGGCCGTGGCTCAAAACTCATCCATTTTTCCAAAAGCCACGACCCAGATCGAAGGTTCGTTTCATCTTAAATTTGTTAAGAGATATTTCTCTTTTCTGTTTCTTGTCAGTTGTGACTGACTGTTCTATTTCAGTTACAACTACTTGTCTACCTGTTAGCAATTTTATGATCTATATATAGGATTCTGTAACAAAGAATTACTAACTCTTCAGAATGTACATATTCAATTCAGTATGACTATAATTTTCTCACAATAACAGTTATGTTGAACTCCCTTCGAACTTCATTACATTATGCAATGCAGTTTCTTTATGTAACACTCGGGATGTTGAATTTTGGCATAGTGATGTGCATTGTGGTGGCTTTAATTAAAAGGCAGACAAATTATTGCATCTAAATTTCTGAATTAAGAATAAAATTGTTGTCTAGAAATAGAGTATACTTGTATATATAGATTGCTGAATCATTACATTAGTCACTGTTAGTTAGCCAACTGTTATTCTGTTACGACAGCTGGTGTTAGTTGGGTTAACCAGTTGTAATTTTGTGATGACAGCTGGAGTTACTTGGGCTTAGGTGTAACTTACAGACTAAGCTATTCCTCTGTATAAATAACCAAGTTAATTTCTCTTAGTCCATTCAGTTTTACAGTTTAATAAAATTTCACATTTCTTTTCTTTCAGTTCCTCTTAATTATTTACCTAATCTTGTTATTTTTTAATGGATGAATGCTAGTGGTGCACAGTATTCTACTGTTAGCCAGATACTAGAGAGGTTTGGAATGGCTGTGAAACAGGAATTGATGCACAATAGCAATGGATTGTTTATTTGTAGGGATGTTTGGTTAAGGTCTTGAAAGAACTAATATTTCATTGTGGTTGGGAAAACGTGTATCATAATCAATAACATAAATAGGCTGAAGACAGCTTAACTGAAATGTCTGACAGTACAAGTATCCATATATGATGGATCATAATGTCGAATTGAGTTCTTGATAAGCTGAGTATCTTATTTGATATTTTTTGTGGTCAACATCCTTCATTACTTATCTATTCTTCATTGTATAATGCAGAAAATGCTTGTTTCTGGCAGCAGTAGGCATCAGGGAAAAACATCTTTTGTGGAACATCGAACCTTTTTTCATCTTTATCATAGCTTCCACCGGTTGTGGATATTTCTTTTCATGATGTTTCAGGTTTGTTCATGCCTTTATTCTCACATAGTTATGAACTTTTGGCACATGCTTGCAGTTCTCATCTGCAGATTTTAGCACTGAACTTATGTTTTTCCTCTTCAGACTTCTAAGTTATGTAATCTTAACTGGAATTTAGTTTCCTGGCTCCTGTTATACTTATTTTAGTATCATAATGATTTTCTTTTTATTGTCAATTTTCAGGGCCTAGCCATCCTTGCATTCAATAATGGAAAGTTTAATGCTAAGACTTTGCGAGAGGTTCTTAGTCTTGGACCTACATTTGTTGTGATGAAATTTTTTGAGAGTATGTATTTCTATTATATGTCTTTCATCATATATTTACCTGTCACTATTTATTTATATTTTCAATTTTTCATTCTTTTTTAGGTGTTCTGGACATTTTCATGATGTATGGTGCATATTCAACAACACGGCACTTAGCTGTCTCTAGAATAGTTTTACGTTTTCTTTGGTTCAGCCTCGCTTCAGTTTTTATAACATTCATTTATGTGTATGTATACCTTCTATTATAATAATTTTGTTCTTATATGCATCCTAATCCTTTTATCTATTTGTTTTGATTTTCTTTTTCTTTAATTGGTTAAGTAATATTACATTTCCATCTGTTGGTGCATGAATGCAGAAAAGCACTCCAGGAAGAGAGTAAAACAAATGCAAACTCGGTTGTTTTCAGATTGTATGTTATTATCATAGGGATTTATGCTGGTGTCCAAGTTTTTATTAGTTTCCTCATGCGGATACCAGCATGTCATCGTCTAACAAATCAATGTGATAGTTGGCCTTTAATTCGGTTTGTGAAGTGGCTGCGCCAGGTTTATTATTTGTCTTCTGTTGTCGCTAATTATTAGTACATTTGATTTTGTTTGTTCTATATACGGTGGAAATGTGCTGATTAATATGTTTGCCTTTATTGTCCTTTTTTCTATTGACTAATGAAGGAGCGACATTATGTGGGACGGGGAATGTATGAAAGAAGTTCAGATTTCATAAAGTATGCTCTAGATCTTGTCTTTGTTCCAATTTTTTTAATTCCTAATACATGTTGTAAAAGAAGGATTTTTTCTTTTAATTTGTTGATATATTCATATCTTTTAAATATTGATGATGAGTTAGCATTGTGTGCTGTGTAGTTCATTTTACTTGGTGAAGTTGCATTGATACCTTGCTCCTTTTCTCAGGTATCTGCTGTTTTGGCTTGTTGTTTTGAGTGCAAAATTTTCGTTTGCCTACTTTCTTCAGGTTAGTGATACATACATTAGCAATGCCCTTGTTTCTGAAGATACACATGGAATTATACAAAATTTGTTCATGAGGTGTATGAAGATGAAGATACATATACTGGTTAGATCTTTTATATTTTGACTGTCGTACTTTTGTGGTTTTCAGATCAGGCCACTGGTTGACCCAACAAGGGCTATTATAAAAGAGGATAATTTAGTTTACTCTTGGCATGATTTTGTCTCTAAAAGTAAGCATTAGTGTGATTGCTGTGATCATTGTCTTTTCTGTTTTCTCTTTGATATTATTAGTTATTAGAATGCCTTTTTTGTTGCAGATAATCATAATGCTTTGACACTTGTAAGCGTATGGGCTCCTGTGTTTGCTGTAAGTACATTGCCATTGTTTGTTTACCTCCTCTCCCCTTCAATTATTCATCCTAAAAGGAGGATATCTTATTCCCTTTAATATTTCTTATTCAATGGGGAAATATGTCTGACAAGAGGAGCTTAAAGTCTGGTGTGAATTTGCAGGCTTGTTAATATTGCTTTTGTTTTGGTTATGCTGGAACTGAGTTTCTATTATGCGGTGTCATAGCTTGTCTGGATTAGCTTTGTTTGACTTCAAAAGAAGTACTGTGATGTATTTCACTAGTTTAATTGTTAATACATAATATATAAGCTTTTAGGTGAATGGAAAAAAATTTAGTGGTATCCTATTTTTTGTTATATTAAAAACTCTTCCCCTATCCCATAGTTTATACTTGTTACCTCCAATTTAACTGTTATTTAAAATTGCTTTCCCCTCCCCTGTCTTTGTGTGTTTTGATTGCTGTTTCTAATTTGTTTATTCTCATTTTTCAGATTTACCTTCTAGATATTTATCTATTTTACACAGTAGTATCGGCTGTCTGGGGATTCTTGTTGGGTGCAAGAGATAGACTGGGAGAGGTAAGTAGTCTTTTTTATGTTGTTATAGTTGACCAACTGTGAATCTCCTTGATAGTATGTTGATTCATATCTTTTACCTGTGGCTAGTGCTGTCCTGTACATTTTAGAACTTAAGATTAGTTGCCATAACATTGTTGTGGGTGTTTGTGGTCACCAGATTAGGTCATTGGAAGCACTGCACAAACTTTTTGAGCAGTTTCCTGGAGCTTTTATGGGCACACTTCATGTTCCTCTATCCAACAGGTGCTGCTCATAAAATGTTGCTTTTTTTTTTCATTGTGTTTGGAAGATAGCTGTATATGTATATGTCCGACCTGTATTGTAGTTCTGTCAGAATATATCCCTTTTTTTTTTTTCAGTTTCTCTACTTTAATAGTATTGTTATTTGTATAACCTTATAATGTTTTTCCAATATTATATTTGTAGGAGTTCCCCGCAGTCTTCTGTTCAGGTCAGCCTTTTGCTGTAGATAAAGGAATTAGTTTTTAATCCTTGTTTTATTTGCTTGATACCTGTATTTAACTCTCAATTAAGAAAATTCTTTATGTTGATGGGAAGGTTACAGTACAATGGTCTCATGTTGGCTGATCCTTTGTTTTGAACTTGAGTAAATATTACTCATTCAATTATTCTTCATCTATAGGTTGTGGAAAATAGCAAGGTTGATGCTGCTCGGTTTGCCCCCTTTTGGAATGAGATCATAAGAAATCTACGGGAGGAGGATTATGTAACTAACTTGTCAGTACGGAAACTGCTATACTTTGTTTTATCTTAGTTTGTATTTTTATTTCACTTCTTACTTAATACCTGCATGATCATGATCTCTTTGCTCCCAGCGAAATGGAGTTGCTTTTAATGCCTAAGAATTCCGGGGATCTTCCGATGGTTCAATGGCCACTTTTTCTACTTGCAAGCAAGGTAAATCAGTTATATTTTGATCATTGTCAAGTTGTATTGTAAAGGGCATTTATTGAGTGTTAAATCAAGTACACTGAAATTTTTCAAATTTTATTTTATGCTAAAATATTTGGTCCTAGTATTAGTATATGTTTATAATATCTTTATTATATCTATAGGATATCAAATGATCTCTTAGTAGCAGTTTCTAGACATTATAAATTTCTTTGTGTGATTAATTACCATGAGTCTAGCATGATCTTTGTCACATCATAATATACCAGAGCAATTTGGTGTCCTTATCTACTTATCATTTTCTAGTTTTTCAGTTCTCAATTTTAAGATCTGGATACCATTTAAATGACTTGTGTGCTTGCTACTACAACTTCTTGACAAACTTTTAAGGATTTTTTAGTTTCTGGACAACTTAATCTTCATAAGATGGGGCTCAAAATGAGAGATGTCTCCTCATAACGAAGTCAAATAATTTTTTTTTTTGGTTGTTTTGGAAACATCCCATAAGTATGCAGAAAAGGTGAATGTCCTCACTTCAGTCGTACAGGAACCCCCTGATGTGAGCATTATCTGGATGATATGCAAGGAAGTAGGATCATCACTATACTCTAGTCACAATTTGTGTCATCCCAGATTTGTATTGATCATATGAATCGATGTTTTGAGAATATAATTAAATTGTACAAGATGAATCAAGAATTGTACATTTCTGATACCTTCGGTTTAAATTTCTAGATTATGTACTGCTTTGTATTAGTTGCAAACAGAGGCTTGTTTAAAGGGAAAAAAATCTGTTTCATGTGATGGTATTAACAAATGTGCACATGTAAATTTTAGTAGTTACATTTATATTGGAAAGCTTACCATGTTTTGTACTCACAAATCTCTTTGTATACTCTTCTCTGATTAACTGATTTTATGCTCCTATTGTCTTCTTTTTGTTATGATTCATTGATTTGTTCTCTTTGCATAATTGTGTAGATATTTTTGGCTAGGGATATTGCTGTTGAGAGTAAAGATACTCAAGATGAGCTTTGGGGTAGGATTTCCCGGGATGATTATATGAAGTATGCTGTTCAGGAGTGTTACTATGCTATTAAATTCATTTTGACAGAAATATTAGATGATGTGGGAAGGAAGTGGTAAGTATTAGTTCTAACAGTGTAGTGCATAAGTTTCCCTCTAAATTATAAACCTTATTTATGGTTTGATATCTTGTTTGTTTGCAATTGTTTCCATTTTACCAGGGTTGAAAGGATATATGATGATATTAATGCTAGTATCACAAAGGGGGATATACATTTGCACATCAATCTAAATAAGTTAGCTCTTGTGATATCAAGAGTAACTGCATTGATGGGGATCCTGGTTTGTGCTTAATCTTTTAAACTCTTGAATTGAATATATTGTGTCCATTTCTATTCAGTATTGTTCTAGTTTGGTGTATTCTCCCTGTTTTATCTTTGGATTCTTTTCTCCTTTCTAATCAATTCTTGTATCTATTGTCTTAATTTTTAAGTCAATTTTTTTAGTCAGAATTCTGCGGAAGTTTGATAAAGTAGAGGGTAGCTTGCCGTAATTCTTATAATTATATCTTCCCTATTAACTAACTAACTTCCTCATTAACGGTTACTAACAAATGCTATTAGAATTTTATGTATACAGACACCTAATAATACTAAACCCCTTGGTTTTCACTTGTCCTCAAGGTGAATGGCTTGTCGCCGGAGAAACAATTTCCCTCCTGTGTTCTGATTGCTTGAAGCAGGATGTCCAAGCGACATCCCGCAATTGTATTCTCAAAACAGTTGTCTCAGTCCTTTCTTTGTCTCAGTTTAAAGGGTACCCTTGACCGCGAACTGGTTCTTCAACCAGCTCCTAACAGTGATGCTAAGTGGACATCAGTCTTTTATAATAGATATTCCACATCTGGTTCCTATCTTTCTACAATCAAATCTCATTTTGTGGTGGCCTAGATGCCACAATCAATTAGTAACTCTACAAATTACCGAGATTAAGTGTCATTGTTTGGCCATAGCAGTTACCCAGCTTTTAAGGGTGCAATATCTGCTCAATGAACTTTGGGTTTAGTTTCTCTTACTCATAATCATGTGCTCTATACATTCTTGAACCAAACATACACAGTTATATATCTTTATTGCTTGAGAGAAGGTCATTAACAAATCTCCTCTGTTAATGATGTATACCTGTTAGTAGTGTCTAGTATTATGTTAGTTAGCTTGACAGCTGTTGGTTACTTATTAGTTTGTTAGTCTCTTAGCTTTTCCTATAAGTTACTTGTACTGCATAGACCTTTGTACTGTGACATTTAGAAATTAGATCAATAATATTTAGATTTCCTTCTTTTAAATTCTCTCCGCTTCTCAATTTCTATTATAGAGTGAATTCTTGTTAATTGTAAGGTGTGTGGGAAATTTTGTAATAGGATTTTAGATATATCAGAACCATTCATTGTTCATACTCAATGACAGGATACTTTTACAAGAGGTTTTCTTGGACTTAATATTAGAGCCTTTATAATCAGGTTTCAGAAGTTTGACCTTTGCTGTCCTCCCAAATAAGTTGAATCTGTGGCGAATGTAAACTGCTCCTCTGTATTAGTTGCTGTTGGGCAATTTATTTGATCATTTTATCTGTGTTTGTGTGGGTGTGCCCACTGCATGCCCGTGTGTATTCGGTGACTTACATGTGGAAGTTTAACATGCTGGTGGAGTCTGAATTTCTTTTATATTGACATTACACAGAAAGAAACTGAAACAACTGAACTGGAAAGGGGTGCTGTTAGGGCAATCCAGGATCTTTATGATGTTATGCGACTTGATGTCTTTTCTGTAGATATGAGGTATGTCACAATTGTAGTTGTCTGCATACATTGGTTTTTAAATACAGTCTTCCTGCTTGCCTGCATCAGGGAGAATTAATTTTGACTTTTCTTTTATTTTGTATCTAGGGAGAATTATGACACATGGAGTATACTGACAAAAGCTAGGGATGAAGGACATTTGTTTGAAAAGTTGAAGTGGCCCAAGAATACAGATTTAGTAAGCGCCAATGATATATTTCTATATTAGTGTGCAAATAACATGTCTTTGAATTTTTTATCCTTTGATTGCATGCAGAAAATGCAAGTCAAAAGATTGTATTCTCTGCTGACCATCAAAGAATCTGCCTCAAGCATTCCTAAAAATCTTGAGGCCAGGCGACGACTACAATTTTTCACAAACTCACTTTTTATGAAGATGCCTCGTGCAAAACCAGTTCGAGAGATGTTATCCTTTAGGTAAATCCTTTCTCTGGAAGAAATTATTATCCTTATTTTTTCCACGCTTATCTTTTCTTTTGTTTGTCCAGTGTTTTCACTCCTTATTATTCTGAGATCGTGCTTTATAGCATGAATGAACTCCTAAAGAAAAATGAGGATGGAATTTCAATTTTGTTCTACCTTCAGAAGATATATCCTGGTAATTTTACTTCATTTTCCTTCTATCAAAATATCAGACTAGAACTGAATGACCATCTTGATTTAATTTGATTCAATTGAAACTGATTGACTCTATTTCAGCATGAGCTGTATGGATACTTTCATGCAAAAATCACAATGACTCTATTTCAACCACTTATGTTCTTTTTTAGTGACAAATAAAAAGGCTTCCCAATTACTTTTGGGCTAATGATTTACATTCATGGTTGCCTGATCCCGTCATTTACTTTGGGGTTCATATCAGACTCATGGAATACCTTTGTTGGATTGAACTCTATTTGTTTTTTGAGATAATAAAATTTCATTTCTTACCCTCTCTCCTAGTCTAAGGGTTGTTCCCTTCTGTTTTCTGGCAAGCTGTTCTATTTTGAGCTCTTAGAGCATCTACATTACTGAGTTGCATAAGTGAGCTTCTGGTAGGTATTAACACATATCACACTTCAGACCTTTTAGTATTTTTTTCTCCAACATGATGGCTTGCTGAAATGGGTGTAACTGAATTATTTATTTTTTAAGAAATTGCTAAAACTCAACCAAATTAAGCGACTCCAACTCAATGGCTCAAGTGCTAAAACCATTTAAGCACTGTTGATTAACACTAAGAAACCTAGATAAGCAACTCAATTGTAGTTGCTTTCAGGATGTGTTATAGTAAGGAGTTAAATAGTGGTCATCCAGCCATCCCACCTTTGGGCTCAGCTACACTGGTTCGGGATCCATGATTGATTACTATGTTGTTATCTATACATTCTTGTGTATAATTTTTAAATTGTTATCCATTAATTGATAGTTTTCTAAAATTACTTCAGATGAATGGAAAAACTTTCTGGCTAGAATTGGCCGTGATGAAAATGCCCTTGAGAATGATCTTTATGATAATGCTAGTGATATTCTTGAGCTGCGGTTTTGGGCTTCATATAGGGGGCAAACATTGGCCAGAACAGGTAATGATCGTCAATATTTTACTGATTCAATTGATTTTTCTCTTATGTTTTCTTTGTTAATTATTGAAAGAAAGCAAGAAATGTATATTGATGCAGAAAGAAGAAGTGCACTCAGTAATACATATAATTCTGTTACAAATCTATATATATATACTCAACAGAAAATAACAATAGACAATAAAAAGAAGTATTTCTTACATTACTGGTCCGAACATGGTTATTGGTGATGATTAAATATATATTTTAACATTATGAAATAAAGAACTGTATAATATATAAATAAGTATAAATTTTGAATATATTGTTTGTAAAAATAATTATTTATTAATATTTATTTTGATGCAATCTAGCATGTAATGAGTGATAGGAACAAATGAAAAATAAAACCTTGAAATATCAATGTTTTCCCAATAAAGTATAGTAAAAAACTTTCACTTGACGGTCATGGCTATAGTAGTAAACAGATTGTGTCAGCAAATGAAAAATATATTTTTAGTTGTGTTGATGGAATGCATTGTTTGGAAGTAGACATTCTATTATACATTTGTTGTAATGATAATATTGAACAAGACAAAATATACCATCAGGAAGTTTGTCACACAATTCCATTTCCCTAAGTTTCACTTGAAAGTGTGGAACTGTTGTATTTTTGTACATTCTTAATACAAGCACCAATCACCTATTTAGGGGAAGAACACAAAGTAGGAAGTAGAGAGAAATAATGAGTTATTTTTTTAAAATTGCTTTTATTTATGTGTTTCTTATTTAATATGCTTATTTTAATAAGCAAACCTATTTAGTTGTTAAATAACGAACTGGGCCCATATCAAAGAAGGGTATCTGTTGCAAGATATTTACTACATTTTCTGCTCTTTGTTGTTTGAAATGCACAGTTCGGGGTATGATGTATTATAGGAAAGCTCTTATGCTTCAGACCTATTTGGAGAGGATAACAAGCGGAGGTAAGGACTTACATCTTCATGGTTTTCCTTGGGGTACTATGTTTGTAACCCTCTCGTTTTTCTTTTTTTAAATTTTTTATCGTAATTTAGATTTGGAGGCTGCAGTTGGTTATGATGAAATAACTGATACACATGGCTTTGAATTATCCCCTGAGGCACGTGCTCAGGCAGATCTTAAGTTCACTTATGTTGTGACATGTCAAATTTATGGTAAGCAGAAGGAGGAGCAAAAGCCTGAGGCGGCTGATATTGCTTTACTTATGCAAAGGTGGGTTCAACAATTCTATGGATCAAACTTCATGTATATTATTTGCTGATTGGTTTTCTCAATCATTGAATGCTCAAGGCTACGGTTTCATCTCTTTTTTTTTTTTACTTATTTATGATTTTAGAAATGAGGCTCTTCGGATCGCATTCATTGATGTTGTTGAAACATTGAAAGAGGGAAAAGTGAACACAGAATACTACTCAAAGCTTGTGAAAGCTGATATCAATGGGAAAGACAAGGTGCCATTCTTCTATACTTTGTGTGTGTGTGTGTTTGTGTGTGTATATATATATATATACTTCGCTTATTATTCAGAACCTACGGTTCTTGCTAAGTCTGGTTAAAAACTTAGATTTGAATTGGATTGATCTTTTCACTCCATTTACTATTTTTTTATGTCACAGGAGATATACTCGGTGAAGTTACCAGGAAATCCCAAATTGGGCGAAGGGAAGCCCGAGAACCAAAATCATGCTATTATATTTACACGTGGAAATGCAGTCCAAACAATTGACATGAATCAGGTCATAGCAGTTTTAATAGCTATGTGTATTTGACTAAATTTTTCCTGATAGATTGTCATGATTTATAAGGATCAATGTATTATATGTTATCTTCATGGGTTTTATCCACTGCATATTAACAATCAACATGAATCAGGTCATGGCATTTTTAATTGCTATCTGTATTTGACTTATTTTTTCCTGATAGATTGTCATGATTTGTAAAGATCTTTGTATTACATGATATCTTTATGGGTTTTATTAAATGCAGTCCACACAGTTGACATGAATCCAATCATAGCAGTTTTAATTGCTGTCTGTATTTGACCAATCATATCTTAATAAGATTGTCATGATTCATAAGGATCTATGTTATGTACAAGTTCTTTGCTGTTGCTTTATGTTTTGATGCCTTGTAGAATTTATTATAGGATAACTATTTTGAGGAGGCTTTGAAGATGAGGAACCTTCTTGAAGAATTTCATTCTGATCATGGGCTTCGTCCTCCTACTATTCTTGGTGTTAGAGAACATGTCTTTACTGGAAGGTATGTGCTAAGTAAATCCTTTGAGAGTGTCCTTTTTCAACTTGGTTTTGTTATATTTATGCGGCTGTGTAATGTATCTGTTAAATGCAGTGTCTCGTCTTTAGCGTCATTTATGTCCAATCAAGAAACTAGTTTTGTGACTATGGGGCAGCGGGTTTTAGCAAATCCATTGAAGTAAGCACATTTGAAACTAAATAATTATTTCTCGTCAAGATTCGAACTAAGTATGACAATTCTATTCAGGGTCCGGATGCACTATGGGCATCCTGATGTTTTCGATAGAATTTTTCACATAACCCGTGGTGGTATCAGCAAGGCTTCCCGTGTTATCAACATTAGCGAAGATATATATTCAGGTATGACTGTTGCTTCATAGAAATTTGGCTGTTTTGGGGAAGGGGCCAAAATGTTACAATTTTTCTCAATGTAGTAATTTAGCTAACAATCCTGCCATTTAAAAGAATAATGTACCCCCAAGGTTAGTTGCCAATGTAATAAGGTTGTTTTCAGATTTGAACTCATGAACAACTCTGGCCACAAAGACCAAACATTACTGCAACACTAGGGCTCACCCTCCAATCATATCATTTAACTGTTTAAAAATCTAATGGCTGCTGTATTATTTTTTGAACACTTACAAGCAAAATCATTATAACTGTGAGCGAAAATGGTATAGACCCATAAGAAAGAAAATCCCTTAGTGTTTTACACAGTAGAAGAGCATATATATATATATAAGATATCATGGTATAAAGAGATGGGCTCGGCCCATATATTTTGTTATATCTACATTTTCCCTCAAGCTGGTGCATGTGCTCATAAATCATGCACCAAACTTGTTCCAGATATACTCAATTGTAGAATCCTGCAATGATTTGGTGAAAACATCCGCAACTGATCTTTGGAGTTAACAAAATAAGTGACAATGTCTCTATATACAATCTTCGGATGAAGTGAAAATCTATCTCAATATCCAATATGTACTTTCTTTGAAAAATAACAATTTCATTGTTGTATTGTGCTACATCAATCCCCAAGAAAAATTTGTGTTTGCCAAAAGACCTTTTGTCTTAAAATGATGGCAAAGGTGTTTTATCTATAAGATGTCATGATGATCACTAAATGTAAGAACAATGTTATCAACAAACTACCAAGTAGATACACCCACTATTTGTGTGATGATAAAACGCCGAATGATCAATCTTACTTTGATATCAACTTGAGATTAATAATAAAGAGGAAAAATATTTTGGAGAGCTTAATCAAGCTTCTCTACAGTTCCTTATCTATAAGAAATTTGATTTCATTGAGAGACCTAGGTACAAATAAGTAAACAAAAAACAGTTATGTAATGAAACCTACCCTGACCCTATTCTAACACACTATATATTTAGTATCTTTGTAATAATAATTATTATAAATAGATCAATCTGCTGAGTGGTAAACACACTCCAGCAAATTCAGAAAACATTTGTTTCTCTTCTCACAACATATTTACTTATTTACTCATCTATGCTGTGTAACGCAGTTTTCTTTGAAGTAATGTTCTTAGGATTTGGGTTATTTACGTGAATGTGTTTCAGCTGTGTATTGCTGTTTGAAATTGCGTTTTTATTTTTTCCTTGTTTTTCCCTTTGCTACTACTTTTTTATGTTCTTGTTAATTCACAGGATTCAATTCAACCTTACGTCAAGGAAATGTTACACATCATGAATATATTCAGGTGAGACTTGTTATTTAATTATGTCTCTGCAACAAATCCTGTTCTAATCATAAATTTACAGGTTGGTAAGGGACGAGATGTTGGGCTCAATCAAATTGCACTATTTGAAGGAAAAGTTGCAGGCGGTAACGGTGAACAAGTTCTCAGTCGTGATGTATACAGACTTGGGCAGCTGTTTGATTTTTTCAGGATGATGTCTTTTTATTTTACAACCGTTGGATACTACTTTTGTACCATGGTATGTCAATTTTGTGTAACATAATTTTTGTTGTTTGAATGAATATGTATGTGAATACACCCAAACAACACAATAAACAATGGAAAATAGTCATTATAGTGGAAAATTGTGGGCAATGAAGTGCCAATATGTTGGAAAAAATACAAAGGCTAGAAGAAATTATAACATGTAGATGGAGTAGCCTATTAAGGAGAGGAAGACAGAAACTTGCTTGAGGTTCTTTTGTCCGAAAAAGAGCAGTAGTGTTCCCTTTTCAGAAAAATGATGCAAGTGGGTTATATTCTAATCAAATGGTCTAGGAAGACTTAAAGAACATAAAATGACCTCACAACTGATGGTTCTTGTATGGTTTATTAAAAATATGGATTTTGACAGAGCAATGAGGCTTGACACTGTTACATTCAGAATGAGAGAACCCAGCAATACATTTCATTAACACTGACACTGCTACACATCTCTGGAAATCTTCCGCACAGTACAATTTTTGAATCATCAACTTACATATATTTATATCCAAGCTTTTCTTCATCTGATGACTTTTTGTCTCTCTCATCCTGCAGCTAACAGTGCTGACTGTATATGCCTTTCTTTATGGGAAAGCATATCTGGTAAGATGGATTATGTTATCTATGCCTTCTTATGTCGAGATTATCTTTTCCTTTTGTTCAAAATTTCACTGTTTTATAGGGATAGTGCCAAATTTTTATAGTTCACATCAGATACCAGTCTATGATTAGTTTTGAGTTGGGCATGGTTTTATTTCACTTTTTTTACCATTATCAGTGCATTTTGCCACTTTGTGGAATTTCGTTGTTTCAATAAGATTATTTGCACAATCACTCAATTTTCAAGTCTTTCTTAGCAATATATGTTTCGTGTCTTATTGGCAATAGACGAAGTTGTGTTCAACCTGTAATACAAGTGATTAGATCAAGAACATTTCTAGTATGATTATGTAGTTCAATACAAACAAATGCCTACAACTGAACTTGTTTGTATATATAAACACAAATGCAATCTGTTTCCAGGCACTATCTGGTGTTGGTGAAACCATTGAAGAAAGGGCTAGGATAACTAATAATACTGCACTGAGTGCCGCATTGAATACACAATTTCTCTTTCAAATTGGTATCTTCACTGCCGTGCCAATGATCTTGGGCTTCATTCTTGAGCAAGGTTTCTTGAGGGTAAGTGTGTGTGTATCCCTTCCCTTAACTTCATAGATATCACAGAACATATCCAGTCAAACAAGTTAGTTGATGTTAGCTATAGTATTAAATATTTGAAAATTGGCATGTCCACTCATATCTGCTGGTCGCATCTGCAAGTTTAGATAATGAAACAATGTTTATCCAGCCAATTACAATGAAGTAACTTGTTATGCTTGTTTCTTAAGGCACGTGATTAAAGAATCAAATGCTTTGTTTTTTATCCCCCTCCCCCCTACTTTTCTTTCTCAACTATTCTGGCCATTTTATCTTACTATTATTATTAAGCACTTCTTTATTTATTTATTTTTAATCTGGAACGTGTGTCAACTGTTTATCCTAATTAGGACATACTTGAGTTCAAAAACTGAGAAAAGTGTTTTTAGAGGGCTTGAAGAACACCTCTCATAGTTCTGTATTTATATAGATAAAAACTGATACAATAGGGAGATTACATTAAATGCACAGTCCTAGATTACTCCTCAGAACTAGGTGCAGAGATTATCTAACACTCAACCCCCTGCAGAGATTATCTAACACTCAACCTCCTACCTTAGGTATAATGATTACATATATTTTCTAATTTATTCCAACACTCCCCCTCAAGCCGGAGCATACAAGTTGTATGTACCAAGCTTGGAACAAATGAACTCAATCCGAGGTCCCCTTAAGGACTTGGTAAACACATCTCGCGAGTTGGTCATTTGATCCAACAAACTCGGTACATATTTCTTTTGTCAACAACTTTTCACGAACAAAGTGACAATCAATTTCTATATGTTTAGTTCTCTCGTGAAATACGGGATTTGATGCAATGTGGAGTGCAGCTTGATTATCACAATACATCTTCATAGTCTGGATATCACGAAGTTAAGCTCTTGAATGAGTCTGTTTTACCCATATAAGTTCACAAGTTAGTGACGCCATTGCCCTATATTCGGCTTCAGCTGTCGATCGAGCCACTACATTCTGTTTCTTACTTTTCCATGAAATAATGTTTCCTCCAAGAAAGACACAATATCCGAGTGGTAGACAGTCTATCAACAGGTGAACCCGCCCAATCTGCATCACGGTACCCGAGTGACTCGAATGCTTCCTTTATCTTCATATAACAATCCTTGTCCAGGAGCCTTTTTAAGGTACCTTAGAATGCGAATGATAGCATTCCAATGACCAACACATGGAGTCTGCATGAACCGACTAACCACTCCAACAGACAAAAGATAGATCGGGCCTTGTAATAGTGAGATAAATCGGTTTTCCGACCAGCCTCCTATATCTCTCCGAATCGAGAGAATACTTCACCTTCTTACGTTGTTAATTTCTTATTTGGGTCCATAGGACTCTCTACGAGTTTACAGATCAATCATACCTGTTTCTTGTAATATATCAAGAGCATACTTTCTCCGAGAGATTACAACTCCATCTTTTGATTGAGCTACTTCAATGCCCAAGAAGTATTTTAGGCTTCCCAAATCCTTGGTTTGAAAATGTCTGCACAAGTACTCCTTCAGTTGAGATATTCCAACAGTATCATTTCCTGTAATGACTATATCATCAACATATACTATTAAGTAAACACATTTACCCGGAGATGTATGACAATAAAAGACCGAATGATCTGCTTCACTGCGTCTTAGCCCAAATTTTTGAACAATGGAGCTAAATTTTCCAAACCAAGCACGTGGTGATTGCTTGAGGCCATATAGAGAACGATGCAATTTGCATACTAGTTCGGACTCCCCCGAGTAACAAACCCAGGAGGTTGCTCCATGTAAATTTCGTCCTCAAGATCACCATGTAGGAAGGCATTTTTGATATCTAATTGATGAAGTGGCCGATGACGAATGGCGGCCATTGCGAAGAACAGACGAATAGTGGTCATCTTGGCCACGGGAGAGAAAGTGTCACAATAATCAAGGCCATAAACCCGAGTGTACCCTTTTGCAACTAACCGAGCCTTGAGCCGATCAACTGCACCATCGGGGCCGATTTTAACGAAGCATATACCCAGCGGCAACCAACCGCCTTTTTGCCCGGTGGAAGGGGAACGAGCTCCCAAGTAGCATTATGGTCAAGAGCTCGCATTTACGCAATCATGGCTTGTCGCCATCCAGGGTGATCAAGTGCTTCTTCCACATTTCTCGGAATAGCAATAGAAGATACTCGAGGATAAAAGGGAACAATAGGAAGGCGACAACCTAGGTGATAGCTAAGAAAATTATAAATAGGATGTGGGTTTCGAGTGGAACGAGTACCTTTTCTCGAGCAATGGGCCATCCTGAATCACCTCCACCAGGAGTCATGGTAGGAAGCGATGTTGGAGAAGAATCTAAAGTGGGGGATTCACCCTCGTCTTGGAGAACAGGACTAGCCATCGGGGTCCTATGATTGACAACATCAATTTGAGGGGAGGATGGTTCAGGAAGACTTGGATCACTACGGAGATCGATAGAGACATCGGAAATATTAGACTCAACTACTTGGAATGGGAAGAACCTGCTGTATGACATGAACATCTTGAACGAAGGAGAAAAGTAAGGAGTCTGTTCAAAAAATGTAACATTGGCGGACATGTAGTACTTCTTGGTTTCAGGAGAGTAACACCGATACCCTTTTTGAAGGCGGGAATAGCCCAAGAAGACACATTTGATAGCACGAGCGGAAAGCTTGTCTAACCCGGGAGACATATCATGAACAAAACATACACAACCAAAAACTCGAGGAGATGTGTGAAAGAGAGGATTATTTGGAAATAGAATGGAGAAAGGGATCTTATTACCGAGAGAGGAAGATGGCATCCTGTTAATAAGAAAACATGCGGTTAAGATGGCATCCCCCAGTGATGGACAGGAATATGAGCACCCGAGCAAAAGAGTACGTGCAGTTTCAACCAAATGTCTATTTTTTCTTTCTGCTATACCATTTTGTTGTGGTGTATGAGGACAGGTGGACTGATGCAATATTCCATGTGAACTCAAAACGAGTAGAAAAGGTGGATGAGAAGTACTCTTTAGCATTGTCGCTTCTTAAAATTTTGATTACTTGATCGAATTGATTCTTAATTTCATTCAAAAAGGATGTAAAGATGGGTAACAATTCGGAGCGATCTTTCATAAGATAAACCCAAGTACATCGTGAATATTCATCAATGAATGTAACAAAATACCGAAAACCAAAAGATGAGATGCGACTGGGTCCCCAAATATCGGAATGGATAATAGAGAAACTGGAAGTACTACCTGTGATTGAGACCGTTTAGGAAAGGTAGATCTAACATGTTTCCCTAGCTGACATGACTCACATTCTAAGGTCTGGAGACCACTAAGTTCAGGACACATTCTTTTTAATTTTGACAAATGAGGATGGCCAAGCCGATCATGTAACATTTTAGGGCTCGGAGTAGCAACACAGGACACACGTGGACGAGGACCAAAAAGGTATAATCCTCCAGCTTCATATCCTTCTCCAATCTGTCTCCCCGAACCACGCTCCTGTATAACAAAAGATTTGTTATCGAAGGTTATTGAACAATTTAAGGTTTTGGTTAACTGACTTAAGGAAATCAAATTGAAAGGACAATTAGGAATAAAAAGGACAGAGTTTAGGCTTATGGAGGGAGATAAAGAAACTTGGCCCACTCCCTTTGAGGAAGCTTTAGAGCCATCTGCAAGGGTTATGAAATGTTGTTTTTCTTGAAAGGAAATGGTTGAGAACAAGGAGGTATTACCAGATATATGATCAGAAGCACCAGAGTCAATTACCCATGAATTTTGACCCTCCATAGATTGAGAAATGCAAGCAGTTGATGTGCTGGCAGTTTGAGAGGTATGTGCCAAGCTATTAGACTTTAACCGTAGATACTCTTGGTATTCGTCCTCAGTGAACTTGGAGTTGACGGTTTCAGCCTTGGAGACATTGGCAGTTTTGGGAGGAAAACCATGCAAGGAGTAGCAGTTCTCCTGTGTATGACCCATCCTCTTACAGTAGGTGCATTGGGGACGTCCTCGACCTCCACGTCCTCCTCCTCCGGTGCCACGTCCTCCTCTTCCTCGTGTGGCAACCATGGCGGATGGTTCTACTAGAGCCGAGCTTCACGAGTCTCGGACATTGGTACACGAATCGGACGTGTGATAAGGGTATCCATGGAAGGGACTTCATAAGTGGTCGAAGTTGATCTCCGATATGGTTAAAGTCGGGATGTATTGCGCGAAGGATCATCACCATGTAATACTTGTCAAGCTTCTTTTTCATTTCATCTAAGGAATCGACTTCCAAGAACATCTTGAGTTCTTCCACAGTCGATCGAGGCGTCATTCATAAAGGACACCATATCATGATCTGTCATTTTTAGAGATGCCGACTTATTTGTGGAATCGTAGAGACGTTGAATATCATTGGCATAAATGGTTTGAGCTTTCTTCCAAAAGGAGTGACAAGTTTTGAAGGCTCTAAGCGACATCAAAAGTCTTGGTTCCACCGATTGCCACAATAGAGCACATAGCTGAAAATCTGCACTGTTTCCAATGTTCGACTTTTTCTTCCAGGCACATGGCTTCCGTCTTTTTCAAGGTGGTCGTGATGCCCTTGACCGAGAAACCACATTTCGACGGTAGCAGGACCAAGATAGATAATTTTGTCCGTTTAGTTTTTCGGAAGTAATGGAGGGGCTTCCGAGAGAATGAAATTGCAGCCATTTCGATCAAGAGGACAAAGACCGATGAGGAGGGGGCGAAACAAGAAAGAAGTCCGAAAGCCCAAGAGTGATTTTCGCAAGGGTGACTACTGGACTTCACCGAAATGAAGAGGCAGCGCGTGGCGGAGAACAAGCTTCCGGGACTGACGGGGTTGGCTGTCGCACGGCGAGACGATTCAGATCCGGTGGTCGCCGGCGAAAACTGGACGATCGGAGACGGTGGCCGGAGGCGGCCGGCGGCGGACGGTGGCCGGAGTCGGACGGTGGCCGGAGTCGGACGGTGGCCGGAGTCGGATGGTGGCCGGAGTCGGACGGTGGCCGGAGTCGGACGGTGGCCGGCGGCAGACGGTGGCCGGAGTCGGACAGTGGCCGGCGGCAGCGGCAAAAACAGTGCCGGATACTACAGAAACAGGCAGAGCGGAATCGACCCGCTCTGATACCAACTTGAGTTCAAAAAACTGAGAAAAGTGTTTTTAGAGGGCTTGAAGAACACCTCTCATAGTTCTGTATTTATATAGATAAAAACTGATACAATAGGGAGATTACATTAAATGCACAGTCCTAGATTACTCCTCAGAACTAGGTGCAGAGATTATCTAACACTCAACCCCCTGCAGAGATTATCTAACACTCAACCTCCTACCTTAGGTATAATGATTACATATATTTTCTAATTTATTCCAACAGACATCTTTCATTTGGCAACTATGCTGCATTTTTTAGGCATTTGACTATAATTTCAGTTAATTAGTTTTCTTCTTCTCCGTTGAATGCCCTGCAAACCATAATTAGAAATATATTCATTTTTGTATTGCTCTGCAGGCCATTGTCAGTTTTGTGACAATGCAATTTCAGCTCTGCACTGTCTTTTTCACATTTTCCTTGGGTACAAGAACACATTATTTTGGTCGAACCATTCTTCATGGTGGTGCAAGGGTTTGTCTGCCTACTCTATGCCATCTCTCTCAGTTCTTATCTTCTCAAATGTTAACCTATTTATTTGTCAACAGTATCAAGCAACTGGCCGTGGGTTTGTTGTTCGTCATATCAAATTTTCAGAGAACTACAGACTCTACTCTCGCAGTCATTTTGTTAAAGGGTGAGGTTTTCTGTTTCTCTAACTAAAGACTTTACTCTTAAGTTCATTGTGTATGTTTCCTTTCAAATTATTTTCATATCTCTATGTACGTTCCTTCTATTAGATTCCCAACTCTGATAAGAAATTTCAAATGGCAAAGAATTTAAAAGTTTAAATCAACATTTGGGTTCTCTCTCTTATTATGATTTCTTGACATTTATTGTAAAAAATTAAACAGTTATTCGGTAAATTGTATTCAATTTTCCGTTGTCTTGAAGCATTGGTCCTTACTTCAATAGAGCTTCACATTTCACATTATGATGCAGTTCGTGCACAAAAGACTTAGTCCAGTCGTATTAACAGGAAACTATATATTTGAGAATTCCTGTTGGAAGTAGAGGTTGAAAATTAGTATGGGAATGCTGTTACTTCTTTGAGAAAGAAATGTACATGGATCGTTTGACAGTGGTTGCTATTGTACCTTCGCATTTTTTATAATTTGGTTGAGAATTTTTTGTACGTGATGAGGTTGTCCTGTTCCAAGGTCAGAACTCCTCAAACCTTGGAACAGCCTATATATTGAGACAATCTACCAATGAAGCACCACTAGTAGGAATTGCATCATGACCTGTGTCACTGTAGTTTAATTACCGCTGTGTCCTACGTGATTTTCCTTGTATGTATATATATCAATAAAATTCATCTATAAAGAAAATTACGATTGTAGCCTTAATGGAAAACAGATGTCATACTCAAGCTGCAGATTGGGCATTCAGTGGAACCACAATAACTTGACAGAGAACTCGGCAGCCTTGTAACCCACCAAATTGACCCTCCTTTCCATTTATTTTATCCCCTAGAAATAACCAAGGAAGATAACCCACAACTGGCACAGGTGCAGTAAATGAATTTGTAGCCAATGATAGTAATGGATTGGCTGTCTGTCTTCTGAAATTTAGACGATGCAGAGGGATCCTTGTAAGATGCTTGAGCTGAATTCACCAATTAAGCCTTACAAATCATGGTCTGCTTGTGCTTCTCTAGTCTACCCTCTTGAGAAAGGAGCAGAGACTCAATCTAATGGATTGGGATTACAAAGGCATCATCCTCTTAGGAAAGCCATTTAGTATCACATAAAGATGATCTCTGGCAAAACCAAGTCACTGATTAAATACATGTTTGTAACTAAATGAGAGCGCCTTTCTTGGTGTTGCAGAGGTCATGTCATTAGACTGTAGTGAGATCTAATTCTAGCCAATAAAAGCACAAAATGGATTTTTACACTACAAAGCTTGTTATTTACCCCTAATTATTAGAACTAGTAGACAATTATCAATCTATAGCCCTAATTAATTTAAAAACATAAATTCATTAATTGGACAGCGAGCCCTTTTTCCACAAACAATGAAACTGTAGTTGATGATCAAAATGGTGGACATTTAAATGCCCAAAAGTCAGACCAGAGATAAAGGGGAGTTAGACTTCAAAGCCATAGAAACTAATCTTTGATTAACCTTCAGAGTAGATATAGTATTTACCTCCTCATGGGAGCCATGAAAATACTAAGAGAAAACTAGAAGAGAAGCAAAAAGCAGCAAATGCTAAATGTTTCTGATTAATTGGAAATAAATGTCAAATAATCAAATAAGCCAAAAAAAAAAAATTAAAATTTGAAATTTCGTATGAAAATAGGCATACCTGTCTTACATGCAGCGAAAGTAAGAATTCATGATTAAAACTGAGTACATTTAATAGATTAGTAGAAGTTACCAGTGTGGGACTAGACATAACATTATTCTGGTTGGATTCATTGACGCGTGAAACATTCTGAGTGGAATTCATGACAGTATTAGTGAATAACTTTGATACAGTGATAAAATTTGCTAGAAAGCTCAGGAAAATGAAGAGAGATTGAGAGAAAAATAAGGATTCTCTGAATTGGGAATCTGATGTATTGTTTTTGTGTTGATTCTATAGGTAAATCTCTCTCTCTATATCTAACTGGAAGGTTAAAAGCAAATGAACCAAACTTATTTAACTGCTGTTAATCTAAGTGAATTACAGAACATTAACTACTCAAACTGTTTGGACTGATGGTTTTAGAGATTCTTGCTTGCATTCATTTACTCTCATATATCATTGTAGGCATAATAATATTTTTCCATCTGGTATTTATGAAATTATTCTCGTTTTGGTTCCATCCTTGTTTTCCTTTCCCTGAAATGTAACAATGGTATTCCTATGTATTGTCTTAGGTTGGAGGTTGCACTGTTGTTGATAGTGTATCTTGCTTATGGCTATAATGAAACTGCACTCTCGTATATTCTTCTGAGTATAAGCAGTTGGTTTATGGCTCTATCTTGGTTGTTTGCACCATATCTATTCAACCCATCTGGATTTGAGTGGCAAAAGTAAGTATTATCTTCTTATTCTGCCATGCATGTCTCAATTATTTTCCCTCACATTTTTTTTTTTAGGGTGGTGGAAGACTTCCGAGATTGGACAAATTGGCTACTTTACCGTGGTGGAATAGGTGTTAAGGGAGAAGAAAGCTGGGAAGCTTGGTGGGAAGAAGAACTGGTAATTAGCATAGGCATTCACTAGGTTGTGTATTCTAATTTATATAGGAAAGGAGATTTGCAGTAGTATATATTTTCTCTTCCTCAAGATAACGGTCTGGTTATGGGTAGTCAAAGGAGCTTTAGCTTCTCTATTTTCGTGTGCATGAGTAAGAACTTGCATTAGTAATTACTACTAGATAAACGGTTAATAATTTGATTAATCTGCAACTGTAAGATAAAGCTAATCCCCAAAGTAGGCATTCCCTCTTCCTCAAGATTACTAGATGGTTATATTTCTTTGAAGTGTAGCATCTAGTTGATGCATTATTAGATTGTGGGGGACAGTTATTAATTAATGAAACGAGCAATTCTACAGCAAGATAAACTATTATATAATATAATTAATTTGCATCAGTAAGATCAAATTAGTTCTTGAAGTACACATTCACTCCTCTTCCAGGATAATAGGCTGTTTCTGGGTAATTGTAGGAGCTGTTGCTACGTCATTTTCATGTGCATGAGCTAGGACTGCTATGATGCATTATGGATTTAATGCAAGATTGTGGTGTACATTTATTAATGAAATTATTACAGCAAGATGAACCATGTCCATCTTTCATGAAATAATTCAATAAGATGCACTATATCTGAGTTTAGTATCCTACATCTGGCAACTCATGGTAATATTTGTTGATTACTCAAGTTCATAAAATTATGTGAGATATTTTAATATTGCATCACTTCTATTGTTCCCAAGGTTGATCCTAAATTTCTGTCATTTCCTCTTAATTTAACTTCTTGGTTTCAGCATGGTTTATTGATTTTATTCAAATATCTGTCAGTCTTCATAAATTATTTCATCTACAGGCTCATATCAGGAGCTTAGGTTCAAGGATAGCTGAAACTATTCTGAGCCTTAGATTTTTCATCTTTCAATATGGGATTGTGTACAAGCTTAACGTGAAAGGAACAAGTACTTCATTGACGGTATTCCATGCTTTTTGTTTCATTCTTTGTTTCCTTCCTTTTGCAGATATACTGGTTTTTAATATATATTTTTTCCAGATTTAGTGTAAGTTGTTTGGTTAATTAATGATTAGTGTACACAGGCATTTACTTATGGTGATTACATGTTTTATTGTCCTAGATAATCTCTAACTAAACTCAAATTACACAACTAGTTATAACCAGGCTAATACCTAATTACACATTTATCACATTTTTAATATCTATTACTGCTCTTAAACACTTGTCTATTTTTTAATTGGTATGTCTTCTGTTTAATATAAACAAATGTGATTCATAGGTTGTAGAATTAGAGAATCTAGGGTTTTCTTGTCAATGATATCAAGTGAACAAATTCTCTGTCGTAATGGATATTTTGTCCATAATATATAGATAGCATCATTGTTTTCTAATTTTCTCAGCTTTAAGATGGTTGTGGCTGCTTGCTCTCTGAACACATCACTTTCCAAGTCTTCAACTCCATATAATCTCTGGTTTGTACGTTCCACTTTGCAGAATGCAGGATATTCAATTTGGAGGAAGCCTGATATATTACTCAGAATCTAATTTGAATTTCTCATCTCAAATTGTCTATCATACTTTAGTGGCACTTCTGAATTGTATCTGACCTTCACTTTCTCCATCTAAAGTGGACATAATTCCTTTATCATATCATTAAATTCATCATCTGCAAACTTGACTGCCCTTTTTTATCAGCTAGAGTATTTAACAAATTTCTCTCTGTTGCATTTTACCTTGACTTTATTTACACCACAAGCTGAATCATTACCATTTTATGGGGGTGTTTGTGGTAGTAGACTTGATCTAGACTAGTAGTCCATGCTATAAAAGGGAGAATGGCCGTGTTACCAGTGGGAAATGTGAATAACACCTTTGCTAATTTAACTAGCAGCGGATCAGACATTGACGTAGTAGCAGCATTAGTGGTGGTAGTAACCTTGTAAGCACGAACATGGATCAAAGTTTTAGGTCTTTGTTATGTAATTTGCTTGTCTGGATATTCTTGCAGCAGATGAATCATTCTAGCAAAATCTCTTCCTCGATCATACAATATTCCAAGTTCCAACTATTCTTCAAATGGATTGTTGCCTTTATAGTAGTGTGTCTCTTTGACATCCCCAACATACCTAAGCCATGCATGGTGGTACCCATGTTATTCTTTTATTTTATTTTTTGAAAAGAAATGTTTATTTGGAACAAGCTCTTAGAGTTTGGTGAGCTTTAGCTGAGGGGAAATGTTTGTTGAGTTGATGAATAGCCGTTGGAGATCCTTCTTACGGTTCTGTATATTCTATCTATACATTGCTACTGGTACTGGAATGTCAGAATTTCCCAAAAGTTCTAAACAGTTTTCAGCTGTCTTTATCATGTCTAAAATTGTCTAACGTCTTGATTTTCCTTTTTTAAAGGATGAAGGCCCGGAGGACCAAAGTTTTTTAGCCATTTGATTAATTTCATATTCATAAGTATAGCTTTCATTTCCGACTTCATATTCCTTTCCCAACTCTCTCCCCGTTATCATCCATCATTCGATGTTGCCAGAATCTCCTGCACCAATGCACGATCAACACAAATGATTTCTGGAGTTGAAGGTTAACGGTGTTCCTCACTGTTGTGCCAAGTTCTCCCTGCCAATGCCGTCTACCCCTTGAACTATGCCTTTGCTGTCCTTTGTCTTGTGGTGGGGCCATCCATCCACAAGATCTACAAGGCTGCCACATCTGCCTCCTTTGGACATCTGACAATGACCCCATCTCGGACCCCTAGAAGAACCACATAAAAATCCTGATATCATGTGCTCATGCACTATTCCTGGATCGGGATACAAATAGTTAATTGGAAGTCCCATTTTCTGAATCAATAATTGAATCATATAATGAATACTGTGATCCATGATCAATATTTTAGTTTCTAGAATTTCTTGATTAGAAAATAATACCTGATTAATGAATCTAAATTATACTTCTTCTTTTTTTCTATATTTTGATTCAAAGATTAGATAGTCCCATATGAATAAAAGGGTCCAATAGATAAATTGACGGGCCAATGTCAAAACTTGAAGCAGTTCTTTTTCCGTGTCTACATGTATGGAAAGGGCACTGGTTAACTGACTGTTTTTTTATGGACATTTTGTACAGGTTTATGGACTTTCATGGGTAGTTCTGGCCGTGCTCATAATTCTTTTCAAGGTGAAAAATATGCATTGAGTGGACACCATTTAACTGTTCATATTGTTAATTTTGCATCTTCATGCCATTTTTATTCTTGCAATAGGTATTTACATTCAGCCAGAAGATATCGGTCAATTTCCAGCTTCTTTTGCGCTTTATACAAGGAGTCTCCCTTTTGTTGGCACTGGCTGGTTTAGTTGTAGCAGTTATACTGACAGACCTGTCTTTACCTGACATATTTGCTTCTATGTTGGCTTTCATTCCTACTGGATGGGGAATTTTGTCTGTGAGTTTTCTTTTCCTCTAAACCATGTGGTTATTATTTGGATTGCACATCTTAATATTTGTACTTGGCGCTGAATTGATGAATATCATAAAGCCGGCTTATAAGATGTGATCAGACCTGCCATTGGTAGTCCTTTCCGCAGTACTGACATCCAATTTGCAAAGTGGTCCAACCATAGCTATAGAATAAGTTCTGATACAATCTATGAATTTAGGATTAAAGCTTAATTTCACAAAATTTATTTGTAAAGGACTGAAATGGTAATATTTAATGTAGGAACGCTGCTCCTTAGGGATTTGACATCGAGGCTGCTACACAAAATTTATAGTTCACCTCTTTAGATAGGAAACGCCAAGATACTTACAATCAACCCTGATAGGCCACAACTGAAGTAACTTTCCAACAGCTTTCTTCCAATAGTATAATTAGTCTATCGTTGGAAGCTTTCTTTGGAATTTGATTCTTCAGATCAAATTTGTATAGCCTTTAACTGCAAGCAGTTCCTATGTTATGTTTGGTTTTATTTTAGTTTCATCTATTTTATTATTTGTTTTCGTTTATAGTTATTTATAGAAAACTCCAGTTTGTTTTGACATGGTTTGCTGAGTTGGAGACATGAAATGATGAAAATATAATTGTTTTCACCATTTCCTTCGCCAATTTCTGAAAATAGAATGGTGATAAGAATCCTTTTTTATATATTAGTTATGAAAAAGGATCCACTTATTATAAGGTAAGAGTTGAAAATTTACTCTTCATTTATTTTCTTGTAATCTAATAGTTGAAATACATTACTATTTTAAATTAACCAAAAATGAGTGGTGAGGATGAATATAGTAAGTTTTTAATTTTTATTGTTGAAGTAAGTTGATCCCTTGTCTTTAATTATGAGTGAAAACATGCCATCTAAAAGTGGAAACAAAAAATAAACCATTGAGTTTCATGTGGTCAAGTTGACACCCAAGCAGGAGGATAAATTCCGCTCTAACTTTTTAACTTTGATGTTTCTTTTTAGATTGCTGCGGCATGGAAGCCTCTGATGAAGAGTCTAGGACTATGGAAATCTGTTCGATCAATTGCTCGACTATATGACGCTGGTATGGGGATGCTCATCTTTGTACCCATCGCATTCTTTTCGTGGTTCCCATTTGTGTCAACATTCCAAACTCGCCTCATGTTTAACCAGGCTTTTAGCCGAGGGTTAGAAATTTCTCTAATTCTAGCTGGGAACAACCCAAATACTGGTATATAGTTGTATTTGGCTGATGTCTTATTCCTAATCCAGAGACTATCAATGATGCCTTTTAAATTTCGTGGAGAGGGTGAGTTAGTAAATCTTCTTGTAGGAAGCCTAGATTTTATGTAGGTCACTTCAGCATTGTGAATAGTTGTATCATCATTTTTCTAGTGTATGCTATAAATCGTTTGATGTAGCATTGGATTTATTGTATGCAATATCAGTTTTGAACTCTCTTGTTATTCCAAGTAACTTATTTTCTCCCATCATTGGATATTAGCACTTCTTGATTTAGTAATTGTCAAGACACCTTTTTTCATTAGAAATGTCAAATGGGAGAATCGTGCAAAATCTAGTTAAGGTAGTTTCATAGACTCGTTATCTATTCGTGTGCTTATTTCCCCTATTTTTTATGATTAACAAGAGTTCACAAGATATTGAACATATCTAACACTGTGGGGCTTATTGTCTAACATATAATAAACTTGCATACAAATTATGTGAAATATTTGCAATAAACTAGATGCAAGCTTCATTAATGAAGCGTGTGTAAAGTCGTATTCTTAAATAAATTTTGTGAATGTATAATCTTTAAGTTATTATTTTGAAACAGACAGTAGTTTTATTTCAACTTTCAGTTTTGTTTTTTTTATTTATTTCATGGAATGAACAATTTTATTTTAAAAGTAAAAAAATCGCTCTTAAACAGTATTATATATTAATACGATTTTTGAGGATTATAAAATGTGATATATAATTTAACTTTTTTAGTTTATTATTTTAATTAAGGAAGAACTTTAACTATTTTACATAACTTTGTTATTTTTTTAAATTATAAATCGTTAAAGCAAATAATGTTTTTTTTTTTAAAACGAACGATAACTTCCATATATATATAGACAAGAGATCATAAAAAAATTATTTATTTTTATGTATTTATTGTATAATAAATATTGAGTACACTCTTTTTTTTAATTAAATTAAACTAAATAAAATAAAACGAAAAATTAAGTCCTGTAAATTTTATCTTCAAAAACAATTTGACTTAAACTTACACATATATTCTATAGTGTCATATAAGAATAACTCGAAATATTTTATAAATTCTTTTTACATTATATTATGCATCTTGGTCGACCATGGTTCGATGTCACTAGAGGTGATTTTTGGTGAGGGTAAAAAATGAAATAGATGATCACCCACTCTCATGAGCCGGTCACCACCAACCCTCGCCTTTGAGCCACCAACATCAACTCGGTGAAGTTTTCACTGTTCATCGCGATAAACTGTGAACAAACAATGTTTGAGTGTAAAACGAAAATGGAAAAATCAAGATATTTATAAAGACAAAATCCAGAATTTATTGAAACAGAAAACTCAAAGAAGTAAATATTAAACACTAGTGGTGATATAGAGTATAAATAGTCCATAGGCACTAGTGAAAACTGATCCTGTGAATAACAAGTAAACAAAACATTGAAACTAATGGAGTCAATTGTCTAGTGGCTCCAATTTTACTTTGAGTCCTCCAGCTTCTGGTCTTCCCCATCCAGGAGGAGGAGCAAGCTGAAGCCCCACACCAGTCTCACCTTCATTCTTGAGCTTAACAGGAGCAGCATGAGGAGGAGCAAGGTTGGTGTTGGTTCCTGCAAAACCAAAAGCACTGTTACTACTCCTGGGAGCATCGTCAGCAACAATAGTGAGAGCACCATTTTCCCATTCAAGACGCACATTCCTCCTTCGGATTTTGGCCATCATTCTCTTCTTCTTCTCACTCTTGGTCTCGTACCTGTAGTGCCTCGAACTCACATGCGCCGCAAACCGCTGCGATGTCTCAAACATGCACCCGCACTTCGGACACGTGTATGGCCCGTTCTTCTTGTACGGATTGCTGTGCATCCGACCATCGTATTCGCTCTCATCCTCGTTGCCAAAAACATTCTCGGCTGCTGCTTCACCCACGTTGCTGTTTCTCATCTTCTGCCTCCCGTAACTGCTTTCGTGGGGAAAACAAACACTCAGTGGACTCGCACAAAGGGTGATGCTTTCATCAACCTCAGTGTCTGGCTGTGATAGTGAGAAATGGGAATTTCTAGAGTTGTCGCCACCAATGGTGGGGATGGGATAAGCAAAATGGTTCAGAAAGCTTCCCCTCTGGGGTGTTGCAATAATCGCGAGCTGTGTTGACGAAGTGCTGCCACCAACAACAGCATCACTTTTGGAAGCGAATGCTGTCGCAGAGAGGATTTTTGCTTGCAGCATCTCCATGGCTTTCTTATTCTCTTCCGTGTGAGTGTCAGCAACAGCATTGCAAACTGCATGCTCCAGTTTGGCTCTTACTATCTGACTCGCTCTTAAGATGCTCTCAGTGTCGCCACCATCGCTCAATGAAGTTGGTGACAGACCCGAAAATTGAGCCCTCATAACCCCTTTTCCCTTCTCTTTTTCAGCGGCATTAACACGATCATGGAACATCAATGGCCTTCTGTTTGTGGTCAATGAGGTTTTTGTCAGGTTTTTTACCTTTTGGCTCAACCCAAGTTGGCTCGTCCCTTTCACCGCTAAGGCTTCGTTTTTTGGGACGGTGGGGTTGGAACCCGAGCGAGGAAATAGGGTGCTAAAGTTGTTGGACTTGGAAGAGTTCATGGCCATGGTCGAGGAGAAATTGAAATTGATGGTGAGAATATGAGTGTGAGTTGTATTGATTTTTCTTTGGCCACTTTATAACATGTTTGTGTGAAATTCTTCTTCTTCTTCTTTTTTTATTTAATTTTGTTTCTGATGGTATTATTTTATTTTTTGTTGCTTGAGAGAAACTATGGATGGTATTAATTTCATAAAGGAACCAATTTGTTTGGGATTTGAAATATATATTTTTTAATATAAAATACACGAGTCAATTGTCAAAGTGATACCCTTATTAATTTCTAATGAGATTTTAGCATTTATGATAAATGTGTTTTAATTAATTAATTGATACTAAAAAATGATTAATTTTTGTAGAAGACTTGACCAGCAATTTGAGGACGATGTACTACTAAGATTAAATACTTGAAAAAAAAAACAAAAAAAAAAACACACACACACACACACATATATATATATATATATAAATTATTAATAAAAATAAACTTATTTACTAATTACTAATAAATATAGTCTAAAAGTTTTATTATTGGATTATTTCTACCAAATCTCATTTAATTATATTAACTGTCTATAATTGATAATTCTATTAAAAAAAAAAAACTATAGGGTCGAGAGTTCATATTTTATCCTATTTAACATTTATAATTTTTTATAACCAAAATAAAATATTATCATTGTCTGCCATTTGATTGCTGAATTTTAAAAAAATATATTTTATTGCCAAAATATCAATAAACTTCAATAAGATAACTATTTGTACAAGTTACAATCATCTAATAATTAATCAAAAAAAAATCTTAATTTTTTAATGTTTAAATAGACTAAGAAACCATTTTTTAAAAATTCATCAACGTTAAATTTTATTAAAAAAATTAAATGATTGAAATAAATATAATTAATATAAAATTTATATATAAATTAAATCAGGAAATTTAAATAAACTCTAAACGACAGATATGACCAAATATGATAATAAGAATAAATATTAACATAAACAAACATTTATTAATTTAAATAGTAAAAGCAACATAAATTTTTTAACTAACATCATTTGCTACGTAAAAAAATTTCATGTACCTTTGTATGGAACAAACATCATATAAAAAACAATCTCCATCACCCTCATAGCACTCATGTCAATAATGATTATGTCATCAGCCTAAATATTCATAATGGCTCAACATAATTCAATTTTCTTCAACATCTTAATTATTAATTTCTTCCTATTATTTATTTACTTTGTGTAATTGTATCCCACTTTATGAACAACTCGTTTTGGTGTATTTTTTCCAACTGGATTAAAATATTGGTAAGGTTTATAATTAATATAAATGAAAGATTTAACTATCACTATTTTCTTTTTAATTATTAACATATTTAAATTATAAAATAATTTAAAGTTATAATTTTAAAATAATTACACTTTGAAATTGCCACTAAATTTTAAAATGTGTAAATTATTAATAAAAAAATAGATGAGAATATTAATAATACAATAATAAAAAAAATATTTATTTTCTAATGCACATCATCAATTATGTAATCTAATACCATTTTTTTTTCTCATGATTTTACATCATATCAATATAAAAAATAACAATACAAGATAAAAACATATAATTTTAATGGTTCAAATATAATCACATGATCCACGTATCATTGTTTTATTTCATGAGAATATGAATTTATAGCGAAAAAGTACGAAGTTCTCTATAAATTATTTTCGGAATAACAATATAATTTCTCCTCGTCAAGAAGGTCGAGCTTAACTTAGTCCTACGTACTAAATGATCCAATTTGGTCTATAAGTGGATCAATTTTTATTCAATTTTATATTAATTGTACCTTTTGATATGAAAGTTAATATTTTTATTAAGACAATAAACATAACACAATCATGAAAAAGATAAGGATGCAAATCAATCAATATAATAACAAAAATTCTAAAAAACATTTTTTTCTTAGTTTTTTCTTTTTCAAAATAGATCCAGAGAACTTCTAATTTAGATTGATCAACATAAAATTTTAATAAAAATTGATATGAATATAATTAATATAAATTATTTTAGGCAGGAATTAACTAAACAAATTTAAATAAACTTTAAATAACACAATAAAATCAAAATAACCAACTATAATAATAAGACAAAGTACGAGGAGAGAAAATTAGATTGCATTTCTTGTGTTGCTTAGGCAAAATTATATTTTAAAGAATTTAGGTGACAAACAACGATAATATTGTATATCACATATTATATTTTAAAGAATTTAGGTGAAGGGTTTCATTTTACTTCTCATGTTTTAATTTGTAAATAAAATAAAAAATATATTTTAAGAAATTTATACGAATAGTGACTTCTCTTATCTTCTCATATTAATGTTTTTTTAGACATCATGAAAAAAAAATTGTGAACATATGACAGACTTTGAAGAGATGATGATATTGGTCATATTAATATCAGACTAAATAATATGTACGGTGAGGAAATTTATAAAAAAAAAAATTAATGTTTTTATGAAGAATGATAAATATATAACAAACATATTTTATTTTAAGGATCATATTGTATATGAAAGAAAATAAAATATATGTTTAAGAAATTGATATAGAATATATAGTGACTTCTCAATGTTTGAACATACATATCATGTAAAAAGATTAATGTGATTAAGTTCCAAAAGTGATCAACAATGTCTTATAAAATTAATATTTTTATCAAAAATAATAAACATATATTAGATATGCAAAGTTACTCAATAAGACAACAAAACTTTAAAAAATAAAAATATAGAAAAACTATTTAAACAAAATAATATTAAATATTATATAAGATAATCTACTAATTATGTAATATATAGAAAAATACATCTTATAAATAAAAATTTATTTTTTATTATTTTCTCTTAATTTTTTATTTATAAAAATATTATATTTATTTTTTATACAATTTTTTTCTATTTTTAGATTTTTATTTTTATTTTTATTTTTATTTATTTTCTTACACCAACTTTTTTTATTAAACACTTATTTTATCTTTTCACATTTTCATTTTTTATTTTTATCACTAGTTAACTCTTGTTTGTTTCTCTTTCATACTTTCTTACAGTATAAAAAGCAAACATTTTGTAGTTTAAAAAAAAATTATTAAATTGTATTTTTCTTTTATTCTTTAATCTTATCTCTTCTATTCAAGATAACATAAGACAAGTTAAAAAAATAAAAGAAATATCTCATAATAATTTTATTTAAATAACAAAATATTTTTTATTATTTTTATTTGTTATTATAATGATTAACAATATATAATAAAAATATGAAATATTGATATAATTTTTTTTATTTATTATAAATGAGTTAGTTAAATAATTAAAACAAATGTAATATTAATATTTTTTTTTAAATAATTTTATGCGTAAGAAAAAAATTGTTTTTTATTTGTTTATATATGTTAAATATTGATTGCATTATTTTAAACATGAATCTCTTATAATAATAAATATGTTACAGGGTAATAATTAAATTAGACATTATATATTAAGATAAAGAGATTTTAAATCATTTGAATGAATTGTGTATTTTAAATTTTTTTCTTACATCATAATCTAAAAATTATATTGCATATGAAAAAATATATATTATTATCTCTTTTTATATACATGTCTTAAAGAAGAAGAATAACATGTAACAGACCGTCAAAAGTTGATAATATAGATGGTAAAAAAGTAATATCATATGTTATAATCAATATCAATTAATGTTTATACATACATGTCTTGAAAAAGAAGAAAAACATGTGACAGCATGTGAAAAAGTTAATAACACAGGTGATAATCCACATGATTTCTATATCATACGTTATACACTTACTTCTTAATTTTCTCACATCAATGTTTTTTTCTTTTTTTATATTTTCATCTTCTATTTTTATCATTCATTAACTTTTATATTTTTTTTTCCTTTCACAATTTCACCTTCCAATATAATATTTTTTAATTTCTAAATTTATCTTTTTTTATAATTTCATCTGTATAACATAATTTTTTTTTCCTTCTTTAATTTTTCTTATCTTCTATTCAAAAAGAGACTTTTTTTATATTTGCATCTCTATAATATAAAAACAAAAGAAATATCTAAGTATTTTTTTTAATAAACAAATTTATTTTTTTCTATATTATTATAACAATTAACATGTATAATATAATATAAAAATAATAAATATTGAAATAATTTTTATTATTTGTTATAAATTAATTAATTATTTTAATATTTTATGGTATTATGTTTTTTTAAAATGTGAAAAATAATAATTTAAGTTTAAAAAAATTTTAAATTAAATTATAATTTTTTTAAAATAGATTAAATAAATTTTAATTTCTAAATTTTAAATTTAGATAATAATATTAAATATATAATATTTTTATTTTATATATTGATCCGTCTAAAACTATAAAATAAATTGTATTTGCAAACACAATTTTATATTTAAAAAAATAAAAAATTGATGTTATATATTACCAAGATTTTATGAGTATTTTTTATTTAAACATAAATTATGTTATATAGTATAAGTTCAAGGTTAGTTTTTTTTAACTAGATGTTCTATCCTATAACAATTTTTTTCTTTTTTAATTAAAAATCATATGATATAGAAGTCTTTTTGTTATTTGAATTATAAATAGTTAAAGCAAATGTAATGTTAATGTTTTTTTTTTAAATGACTTTAACAAGCAAGGGAAAGAAAGATTATAAAAAAAACAATTATTTTTTTATTTATTGATGTATGTTAAATATTGAATGCATTATTTTAAACATAGATCCTGAAAGTATCTCATATAATACAAAATTTGTTGCACGGTAATCATGTAAATTAGATATTGTATATAAAGATAAAGATATTTAAAATAATTTAGATGAATTATGTATTTTTATTTTTTTCTTATATTTTAATTTAAAATTCATATTGCATATGAAAGAAAAGAAAAAAATGTTAAAAAAATGTATA